TGCAGCAGACATATGGTGAGCAAAATGTTTGGAACATCGAATCACAATATAATCACAGTTTCGCATCGCAATACATATAGAGTTGTGAGAATCGCAATACATATCATATTGGCACCTAAGTATCATGATAATATTGTGAGGTCCCTGGCAATTCCCAGCCCTATTAACTACCCAACTTCCCATTTAGCGAACTGCCTGCACTCAGTGTAGGCCTACACTGGACAGATGGTCAAATAAAAGTCAGATATTTGAGGTGCTCTTGATTTTAGGGTAGTTTACCAGGTACAGTGTTTGACACCGAATGGTTTGAAAATCACCTGGAACACCATCATTATGCCAGGTGATTGTTGTTGCAATTATGCTGGTTAGGGATTCCATCAACTCTGTTAGTAGTTGTCAAACCATATGTCAGTATTTGGTCTCTCAAAGCCAGGCAGCTCTGCCCACTCAAGCCCCAGGCTTCAGACATCCAGGGGCCAGCCCTTCTCGCAGGCTGCCTACCATCAAAACACTAAGGGAGACATTTTCGTAGTGCAAAAGCAATGTGGTAAGTACTCATTGTAATCTGGCAGTGCGATTTAATTTGAAAATGTGTGTGTTCCTAGCAGAGCTTTAAGAGCCAGGTTGTCTGAGTAGAGAAAATCCTGTCATCCCGCTGGGTGAGAGGTTTAATCTGTGTTACAGCAAAACCTACAATGGCTTCAGTGTCAGCTCCACTACCCCCCATCCATACTCACCCAGCCAACAGAACACCATACAGAATAGTTACTAACACTATGTAGGGTCATCTGCAGTTGGGGAGTTGAAAAGCAGAGAAGTTATTTTAGATTTCTACCCTGTGGCAATTAGATTTAATGCACTCTTCTCCCCCTCCCCTGTCTCCATCACTGTCTGGTGGGGTACTTCTCTCTGAAATGTCTCTAATACTCTCAGAGCTACACTGAACAAAAATATAAACGCAACATGTAAAGTGTTAGTTTCATGAGCTGAAATAAAAGATAAACAAAGAGGTGTAATGGGTTCGCACTTAAAAAGATATCGCATAAAGCTTAATTATTTTATGATTTTAATTATTTTCACTGCATCAGGGACAGCGTACACAGATGTTTCGGCTTTACAGCCTTCAGTGTGTAGGTACAATTTTATTTGAATTCAAAACAGCATTTGTAAAGAACAACAGATGAGCAGCAGGTGCTTCTAATCAGGGTTGCCACTCATCTGCCAATCAGGGATGTGGCTTTTCTGGTCTACCTGTATACAAATTAGTCACAAAGAAATACAGAATTATAGCGTATGGGAGTGGGCACGAAGGGCAATTCAAGAATCAACCGCCCCAGGTGTCCGCTCACCGAAGTACATCATATCAATTCATGAGATAGCCCACCACAAAGGACATCAGGCAAAGCCATTCATAAACATGTGGGGCCAACCCATAAACGATATGTAAAATCTGATATGGACAGTTTCTTGTATAACAGTCTAAATTTGGCTTATAGGAAGGAGGTGAAATCTAGTTATTCGTTTAAATCGTGTGGAGATACAGAATTTAATTGAAATATCCCACATGGCTTATCTTTGAAGTCATTTGTTGTCATAGTCACCACTGTGGTGGATTAACTTTTTTGATACCGGACGCAACGCAATTCATTAATATAATTATTTTGTTCTATAAAGTGTCTCGCAACAGGTGAGGTGATATCTTGACATCTAATAGTGGATTTATGTTCTCCAAGACGTACTTTCAAGGCGCAGGATGTTTTTCCAATATAAATCTTATTACAAGAACACTGTAACATATAAATAACTCCTTTAGTATTGCAAGTTATACATGACTTTACCTCATAGGTCCTAGAAGTCTGAGGGCATACAAAGTTAGAACATTTCCCTTATGGTTCTACAAGAGGTACAAGATCTACAGGGGAAGCATCCTTTATGAATGTCTCTTTACTCTCTTTGACCACATCTGATTATAGGTGAATAAAGGTGGATTCTGGAAGGCAGAATTTAAAGAGGAGTCAGATGATGTGCCAATATTTTGACAATAGACTTGATGCCATTACGGCTATTATTGAAAGTATGTAGTTTACAGAGAACTGTTTCTTCTGTTCTTGTTGGGATTTATTAAGTAACTGGCTTCTGTTCAAGCTTTTAACTTGTTTTGGAGCTTTATCAAGCCAGGTATCGGGGTATCCTCAAGCGAAAATGCTCAAGGAGAGAGTTTGATAGTCTATGATAGACAATCTTCCTCTTTGTCACAGATACGACGTAGTCTATGAAGTTGGCTGACTGGTAAACCTATTTTTAGGGGGAGAAGGTGATAACTATTAGCTGTCAATATAGTATTTTTATCTGTAGGTTTTCTGTAAACTTTAGTACTTAGAAATTGTCCCTTTTTGTAACAAGTACATCTAAGAAATGTATGGAGTTGGCCTCCTGAGTGCCGCAGCGGTCTAGAGGCGTCACTACAGACCCGGGTTCGATCCCAGGCTGTGTCGCAGCCGGCCGCGACCGGGAGACCCATGAGGCGGCGCACAATTGGCCCAGCGTCGTCCGGGTTAGGGGAGGGTTTGGCCGGCCGGGATGTCCTTGTCCCATCGCGCTCTAGCGACTCCTTGTGGTGGGCCGGGCGCATGCACGCTGACTTCGGTTGCCAGCTGTACGGTGTTTCCTCCGACACATTGGTGCGGCTGGCTTCTGGGTTAAGCGAGCAGTGTGTCAAGAAGCGGGGTCGTGTTCTGGAGGATGCATGGCTCTCGACCTTTGCCTCTCCCTAGTCCGTACGGGAGTTGCAGCAATGGGACAAGACTGTAACTACCAATTGGATATCACGAAATTGGGTAGAAAGTAAAAAAACAAAACAAAACATTGGGGAGTTCATGTTATTTTCCATATTGAAGGAAATTGATTGTACCTCTAGAGTTAATGTAGTTAAGAAATTCATTTTGGAACCCGTCCAGTTCACAAAGCAATCGTCTATATAGCGGGTCCAATATTTAACATTATCTTTGTAAGGATTATTTTCATAAATAAAATCCAAATCAAATTTCCCCATGAAGAGATTTGCATAGTTGGGAACTAATGGAGTACCCATTGCTGTTCCAAAATTCTGTGGATAGTAATATTTACCAAATAGAAAATAGTTTTTAGTAAGCACTAGTTGTGCAAGCTCAATTATATTATTTGTAGATCCCAGACATTTTCCATATGCACAAAAAGTATATTTCTCTCAAATGTTGTGCACAAATTTGTTTACATCCCTGTTGGTGAGCATTTATCCTTTGCCAAGATAATCCATCCACCTGAGAGGTGTCGCATATCAAGAAGCTAATTAACATCATGATCATTACACAGGTGTACCTTGTGCTGGGGAAAATAAAAGGCCACTCTAAAATGTGCAGTTTTGTCACACAACACAATGCCACAGATGTCTCAAGTTTTGAGGGAGTGTGCAGTTGGCATGCTGAATGTTCATTTCTCTACCATAAGCCGCCTCCTCCAAAGTCATTTTAGAGACTTTGGCAGTACGTCCAAATGGCCTCACAACCGCAGACCATTTGTAACCACGCCAGCCCAGGACCTCCACATCCGGCTTCTTCATCTGCGGAATCGTCTGAGACCAGCCACCATGACAGCAGATAAAACTGTGGGTTTCACAACTGAAGAATTTCTGCACAAACTGTCAGAAACCGTCTCAGAGAAGCTTATCTGCCTGCTCGTTGTTCGGCATCGTAACAGACTTCAGTGGGCAAATGCTCACCTTCGATGGCCACTGGCACACTGGAGAAGTGTGCTCTTCACGGATGAATCCTGGTTTCAACTGTACTGGGCAGATGGCAGACAGCGTGTATGGCGTCGTGTGGGCGAGCGGTTTGCTGACGTCAACGTTTTGAACAGAGTGCCCCATGGTGGCGGTGGGGTTATGGTATGGGCAGGCATAAGCTACGGACAACAAACACAATTGCATTTTATCTATGGCAATTTGAATGCACAGAGTTACCTTGACGAGATCCTGAGGCCCATTGTTGTGCCATTCGTCCACCGTCAGCATGATAATGCACTGCCCCATGTCGCAAGGATCTGTACACAATTCCTGGAAGCTGAAAATGTCCCAGTTATTCCATGACCTGCATACTCACCAGACATGTAACCCATTGAGCATGTTTGGGATGCTCTGGATCGACGTGTACAACAGCGTGTTCCAGTTCCCGCCAATATCCAGCAACTTCGCACAGCCATTGAACAACATTCCAAAGGCCACAATCAACAGCCTGGTCAACTCTATGCAAAGGAGATGTTGCACTGCATGAGGCAAATGGTGGTCACACCAGATACTGACTGGTTTTCTGATCCAGTTCCCTACTTTTTTTTTAAGGTATCTGTGACAATCGAATGCATATCTGTATTCCCAGTCATGTGGAATCCATAGATTAGGGCGTAATGAATTTATTTAAAAGGACTGGTTTCCTTATATGACCTGTAACTCAGTAAAATCTTTGAAATTGTTTTATGTTACATTTATATTTTTGTTCAGTGTAGAAAGCAGATTTTCTACATAAGAGTACATTTCAGACTTCTCATTCATTTTCTGATTCAGTACTGAGAGCAACACTGAATGCAGTCTGGCATCCAAGCCTTATATCTCAATGTGTTTAATCTCATTGTGTGGGTTTAGTCGTTGGTTGCTATAAAGAAAAATGTTTTCTGTTCTGGATAGACATTCTCTGTAGACACCACAGCAGATGCAATGTGGGAGGCATCAGGAAACAAACCCTGTGTTAACTCCTATAGTGGTGCTTTAGTCTATTTCACTTACTATTGCCATTAACTTTTATCAACATGAATTGAATACAATCTGTGTTGTTTTCAGTTGCTCTGTTTGGATAGGCCCATCTCAGAAGTGCAATGAATGACATGTTTATATTTTTGCAAACTCTAACCAGTCTCATCATTCCCTCCTCCTTTCTCCTCTCTTCTCCTGTCTCCAGGTGGTGGCCTAAGCCATGGGGGCATTCCTGGACAAGCCCAAGACGGAGAAGCACAATGCCCACGGTGAGGGCAATGGCCTCCGTTATGGCCTGAGCAGCATGCAGGGCTGGCGGGTGGAGATGGAGGACGCCCACACCGCCACGGTGGGTTTACCCCAGGGCCTGCATGACTGGTCCTTCTTCGCTGTCTACGACGGCCACGCCGGCTCCCGCGTGGCTAACTACGCCTCTAAACACCTGCTGGGGCACATCATTGCCCACAGCATGGGTCCCCCGGGCCCCGAGGGTGTCACTCCAGCCCCCACCATGGATGCGGTCAAGACTGGGATCCGCACCGGCTTCCTGAAGATCGACGAGCACATGAGGAACTTCTCAGACCTGCGGAACGGCATGGACCGCAGCGGTTCGACGGCCGTTGCCGTGCTGCTCTCGCCAGAGCACCTCTACTTCATCAACTGTGGTGACTCACGGGCCGTGCTCTACCGCAACACTCACGTCTGCTTCTCCACGCTGGACCACAAGCCCTGCAACCCACGGGAAAAGGAGAGGATCCAGAACGCAGGCGGCTCAGTAATGATCCAGAGGGTGAATGGTTCCCTGGCCGTTTCCCGGGCTCTGGGAGACTACGACTACAAGTGTGTGGATGGGAAGGGTGCCACAGAGCAGCTGGTGTCCCCAGAGCCCGAGGTGTTTGAGATGGAGAGGTCCCCGGGGGATGAGTTTGTGGTGCTGGCCTGCGACGGTATCTGGGACGTGATGAGCAACGAGGAGCTGTGCGAGTTTGTCAAGTCCCGTCTGGAGGTGTCCCACGACCTGGAGAAGGTCTGCAACCAGGTGCTGGACACCTGCCTGCACAAGGTACAGTGAGGCTAATGTGTTTGTGTGTGTGGGTGTGTGTGTGTGTTTTAGCATGTGGAAATGTAAACTATTGTGGTGCGTGTTTTGTTGTACTTATTAAGGAAGCTCATTTGGAAGCTCTATTTCTCTCTTTGGCATCAGCGTTAACAGAGCCTAGCCCCCACACCTAATGATTCTCTCTCCATCCCTCTCCCCCCCCCCTCCGCCACAGGGAAGTCGGGATAACATGAGTGTTGTGTTGGTGTGTTTGCCAAACTGCCCTAAAGTGTCAGAGGAGGCGGTGAAGAAAGATACAGAGCTGGATAAGTTCCTGGAGTCTCGTGTGGAAGGTGAGAATGATTGACTCCCTTCCATTCCATCCTGTTGTCTTCATCCAGGCTGTCGTCCCATTCTCTAGTACCATTCTCTCCAAGTGTGCACTCGTTTCCTCCCCTTACGGCTTTAAAAAGCATTGACTTAGGACTGCAGGGAGTTTACAGCATATTTCAGACTTGCTTTTAAATCCATGTGGGGAAGTGAAGGAGTGAACATACTTAGAGGAGAAGGGTGGAGAATCGGACCGCAGCCCCAGTCTAAATGTATTACACTCCCATCTGGGACACACTTCCAATCAGTGTTGTAATCCGGTCTCGAGACCGCATATTGAGTGTCTCGGTCTTGTCTCAGTGTTGGATACATTTGTACTCGGTCTTGACTCGGTCTCGGACAATAAGGACTCATAATTTCTTCCTGAGACCAGCAATGTAAAAAACGCATAATTATCAGCTTCCATTCAGTCAGCGCGTAAAACCTCTTCGCAAGGCCAAATATATACACTCCTTTCTTGAAACATTAATATCTTAACAGTCTTTATCTATTATAGACATATTTGATCAGTGGCGAACCTATAGGCCTTCAGTGTGTGACAGGTTCGCGATTCTGAAAGGACAGCAACCGTAATACCAGCGCACTCATGTAGGAGAGTGCACTTTTTGTAAAACACAAAGGGCCAGTGGTGTAGTGGAGGCTATACGCAGGTATAAGCCATATACCCACTTGTTTTTCAGTTGAGCATTGCATATTCTCACTTCTTAATAATCCCTACTGATGCGTATCAAAGTAGTGTAGTGGAGCTATACGACTTATCAATGATGTAGTACAATAGACAAATCATGCACAAAGTAGCCTACACAATCGCAAAGCATGTGAAGTATATTAACATGCGCGCCGTACACAGCCTAGTTTCAGCGGAATATAATCTGCAGGCAGCAAGAGTTTGCAGCTCTCAACTGGTTTCGGCATGGAGCAGCTCACAGAAGAATGACATCTGTAGCCGGTAGGGTAGGAAAGACGTTTGAACTTATGATATCTACCAGTAAAATGCTAACTAAGGCAACAATGGGTATGCAAACTAGGTATTTAAAAAGTTTTGTCCGAAGTGTTGGTTAGTAGGCTACACAGCATGGTCACACAGCATGATGTTAAAGGATAAGCAGTCCATAAACTCGGACATAATAAGCCGGTAGGTCCCAATCATAAGAATACAAAAACACAACCATTAAGCATTTTCCAATCGACATGTACAACTATTATTTCCCATTGCAAAAAACATTTCACGTTTAGCACACAAAGTAACCGGTGACCTGAAGTTTAAAGTGAACTGACAGCGTTTTAACTACTTTGCAGATATGAAACAGACAATCATAATATAAGTCAAATATCACATTTCCAGTTTATGCTACAAAACAAACTTTATAAGAGGTTTTAAAAATAGGTTATATTTGACTCAACGTTCCATGACGTACACTAAGGCATTGTTGGCAGAATAGATGGATGCAGTTCAATGCATGAATAATATAATTCACCAATACATTTCTTGGTAGTCCCAAAAATATTGCTATCAGGTTGTAAATCACAGCTGGCCTGGTACATTGTTTTCTGCCTCCATTCGGGATGCACTGTTTCAGTTTCAATGACTCAATATTCTGGACAAAAACTGACAAATATAACTATGGCTGGGAATGTCAATACAATCAAACTATCAAGGGCAATGATCACAAGTCAGTCATAATGTGGCTAAAAGGCTAGCATATCTATTTATGTAGCAAGCTAAAAACACGGAGCCTAACATTAGCTGAATAGCTAGCTAGCTGCTAGGAGGATGTCATGCCATTGGAGGAGATGGTGAGTGACTGACTTTTTCCCCTGATGTAGTTTTTTGGTGGCTATACACAGCTAGAGATGCATGTGTCATTTGGTTAGCTAGCAAGAACTTGAACAAGTGTTATCCAGTGTTATCCATATCTCTTGCATTTGCAAATTTACTCTGGCTATCTACTCTGATTTCAGAGCACTCTCATCTGAGTGTGCCAGAGTGCAGAACAAATGATGAATTTACGAATGCGCAACACCCGCTGAATATGACCGGTGTCAGTAAACGTAGGCAAAACAATTGTTAGTCAAGAACGCTGTATCATAACATGTAAACAGCCTAACCATCTCTGCTACGCCGAGTAAAATGGTCAGAGTGAGGTGTTCTCTCATTTGTGTCTGGAAGTAGCTTGCTAGTAAGCTAGCCAACTTTAGCCAGTTAGCTAGGGGTGCTTGGTTGGGACAAGCGTGCATTGGCAGGCAAGCTGCAGAAGGACGAGGAGGCTACAATTCCCCATCGTTTATCAGTGCAATTTTGACGGCCAACTAGCTGAAAAGGTTTGAGAGGGTTTATGTAATGTTTCTTTGTTAGATTTTAGCTCACATTAGTTGTTGATGTTGTTGAGGTGCATAACTGAGGGCGAGAGAGCCTATCTTTTCATGGTTGTTTGATCAATAGGACTGTAAAGTTCCCAAATGTAAGAGGACTCCCGTGGTGTTTACATATTTGTAGAAATCCATTTAGGTGTATTTTGTGGCTCTTGGCGAATGCGTTCTAATGATCTAAAGTCGCGCTGTTGTAACTGCCTGTAAACACACAGTCCAGTTCAAAGTGCATGATGGCAGGCCCGTGTGGGAAATGGCTTGTTTGTATAAAGGCCTACTGTAGCTCTGATTGACTATAGTGCACCGGTCTGTGTAGACTCCGGTCCTGGACACCGTAGGGATGCTACCAGGTTTCCATGCAGATATGATGCTTGGCAATTAGGCCAAAGAGTTCAGTCTTGTTTCATCAGACCAGAGAATCTTGTTTCTCATGGTCAGAGTCTCCTTTAGGTGCCTTTTGGCAAACTCCAAGCGGGCTGTCATGTGCCTTTTACTGAGGAGTGGCTTCCGTCTGCAAAGCTGTCATCAAGGCAAAGGGTGGCTATTTGAAGAATCTCAAATATAAAAATCTATTTTGATTTGTTTTAACACTTCTTTGGTTACTACATGATTCCATATGTGTTTTTTCATAGTTTTGATGTCTTCTCTATTATTCTACAATGTAGAAAATAGTAAAAATACAGAAAAACCCTTGAATGAGTAGGTGTTCTAAAACTTTTGACCAGTAGTGTAATTATAATGATTATTTAGTAAATCCTTAGCCCTTCTCTGAAGGCGTAGATGGCCCATTGTTCCCCACTGTGTTTGGGTTAGTAAAAATGTGTAGAGTGCCTCTATTTTCCCTCAGCATGCATTTTTTCACTATTCTGAATGTCTAAAGAATCCATATGTTGTTATGAAATGTTATTGTGGTGGTCATTTGACAAAATTACAATCATGGTCTGGAATTTAGTCTCGCATTTTTCTGGTCTCGGTCTTCACTCGGTCTTGGACCCCTTGTCCCCCTCCCAGTCTCGGTCTTGACCTCCGGTCTTGACTCGGACTCTATTTGCTCCAGTCTCGGTCTGGAATCGGTCTCGCTTTAGGTGGTCTCGAACACAACACTGCCTCCAATCCATCACACACACTTTATAAACCTCAACCCACCTAGTTCCAGAGACACAGCCAGGTAGACTGGCTGGCTGACTTGGGTGTTAGCTTGAGCTCCAGCTGGCCTATCAACTCCCACTGAAGCACGTTAATGTCCTGACCCCCTTTCCCACTCCACATTCCCCCTCTTCCGCTCCTTCACCCGCTGCTTTTCTTCCAACAGTCTCCCTCTCCCTTCTCCTCCTGTCTCCGTCACACATCTCTTTACCCCGTTTTAGATTACTCTCTCTCTTTGTCTCTCTCTCTCTCTCTCTTTGTCTCGCTCGTTTTCTCTTGCAGTCTTGACAAATGACCCTACCAACACTGTTTCTCTCCTATCCTCTTTTTCGGCTGTCTCTTTCGGACATTTGACATACTCTGGCAAGCAGGCAAGAGTTTTCTAAAGTCTTCGGGGGTTATTTAAACTCTTCCCCCTGGAGTTGGCCCAGAGCGTTGTTTAGCTGGGAGTGCCGGTGGGAGCTGCTGCATAGCAGAGAGGAATGCTCTGGCGGAACATCTAACTGGCACCTGGCCTAACCAGTCCAACTGGGCTGCAAGGGTTTCCTTCTCCCTCATCTTCTTTCCTCTTGTCTGCCTCACTCTCTCTCTCTGACCTTCGTTCCTTTCTCTGTCACACACACACACACACACACACACACACTAAACATTCTCAAACTCTCTCGTCTCACAGCAGTTGTGGTTTTATGTAGCAATCTTTAACATTTGAATGTTCAATTCTCACCCCCCTCTTCCATATCTCTCTGCCTCTCTCTCTCTCTCTGCCTCTCTCTCTCTCTCTGCCTCTCTCTCTCTGCCTCTCTCTCTCTGCCTCTCTCTCTCTGCCTCTCTTTCACTCTCTCCCCCTCTCTTCCCCCCTCTCTCCCCCTCTCTTTCTCTCTTTCTGTCTCCCCCTCTCTTTCCCTCTCTTTCTCTCTCTTTCTCTCTCTGTCTCTCTCTGTCTCTCTCTCTCTCTCTCTCTCTCTCTCTCTCTGTCTCCCCCTCTCAGAGATCATAGAGAAGGCAGGAGAGGAGGGTATTCCAGACCTGGTGACGGTCATGAGAAACCTGTCCTCAGAGAGCATCCCCAACCTGCCACCAGGGGGAGGCCTCGCCAGCAAGTAAGAGCCCTGCCCCTCACTCTACTCTACTCTCTCTGCCTTCCCAGTAAAACATAAAAGTTACAGAAAGGACATATGGGCCATGTAAGAGAGGGATTGATTTGATGGCACTAGGTGGATTTATTAGGTTAGTCCTAAACCTGTCACCCGTGTGAATTACTTCTTGACTTGTAGAGGGTGTGTTTACTTCTCTCACTGTGTGTGTGTTTACCCCTCAGACGCAGTGTTGTTGAAGTAGTGTACAACAGGCTGAACCCACACAGGGAAGTGGATGGGGTGAGTATCAGGACGCTCTTTTCTTATTTTCTCAAATGTATTCTATAACTTATATTCCACTAATATATGTCTATATACAGTCATGGCCAAAATTGTTGGCACCCCTGAAATTTTTCCAGAAAATGAAGTATTTCTCACAGAAAAGTATTGAAATTACACATGTTTTGCTATGCACATGTTTATTTCCTTTGTGTGTATTGGAATAACACAAAAAAAAACAGGAAAAAAGCAAATTTGACATAATTTCACACAAAACTAAAAAAATGGGCCGGACAAAGTTATTGGCACCCTTTCAAAATTGTGGATAAATAAGTTTGTTCCAAGCATGTGATGCTCCTTTAAACTCACCTGGGGCAAGTAACAGGTGTGGGCAATCTAAAAATCACACCTGAAAGCAGATAAAAAGGAGAGAAGTTGACTCAGTCTTTGCATTGTGTTTCTGTGTGTGCCACACTAAGCATGGAGAACAGAAAGAGGAAAAGAGAACTGTCTGAGGACTTGAGAACCAAAATTGTGGAAAAATATCAACAATCTCAAGGTTACAAGTCCATCTCCAGAGATCTAGATGTTCCTTTGTCCACAGTGCGCAACATGATCAAGAAGTTTGCAACCCATGGCACTGTAGCTAATCTCCCTGGACGTGGACGGAAGAGAAAAATTGATGAAAGGTTGCAACGCAGGATAGTCCGGATGGTGGATAAGCAGCCCCAAACAAGTTCCAAAGAAATTCAAGCTGTCCTGCAGGCTCAGGGTGCATCAGTGTCAGCGCGAACTATACGTCGAAATTTGAATGAAATGAAACGCTATGGCAGGAGACCCAGGAGGACCCCACTGCTGACACAGAGACATAAAAAAGCAAGACTACAGTTTGCCAAAATGTACATGAGTAAGCCAAATTCCTTCTGGGAGAACGTCTTATGGACAGATGAGACCAAGATAGAGCTTTTTGGTAAAGCACATCGTTCTACTGTTTACCGAAAATGTAATGAAGCCTTCAAAGAAAAGAACACAGTACCTACAGTCAAATATGGTGGAGGTTCAAAGATGTTTTGGGGTTGTTTTGCTGCCTCTGGCACTGGGTGCCTTGACTGTGTGCAAGGCATCATGAAATCTGAGGATTACCAAAGGATTTTGGGTCGCAATGTAGGGCCCAGTGTCAGAAAGCTGGGTTTGCGTCCGAGATCATGGGTCTTCCAGCAGGACAATGACCCCAAACATACTTCAAAAAGCACCCAGAAATGGATGGCAACAAAGCGCTGGAGAGTTCTGAAGTGGCCAGCAATGAGTCCAGATCTTAATCCCATTGAACACCTGTGGAGAGATCTTAAAATTGCTGTTGGGAAAAGGCACCCATCCAATATGAGAGACCTGGAGCAGTTTGCAAAAGAAGAGTGGTCCAAAATTCCGGGTGAGAGGTGTAAGAAGCTTATTGATGGTTATAGGAAGCGACTGATTTCAGTTATTTTTTCCAAAGGGTGTGCAACTAAATATTAAGTTAAGGGTGCCAATCATTTTGTCCTGCCCATTTTTTGAGTTTTGTGTGAAATTATGTCAAATTTGCTTTTTTCCTGTTTTTTTTGTGTTATTCCAATACACACAAAGGAAATAAACATGTGCATAGCAAAACATGTGTAATTTCAATACTTTTCTGTGAGAAATACTTCATTTTCTGGAAAAATTTCAGGGGTGCCAACAATTTTGGCCATGACTGTACATATTTGAACCTCTTTCATACCCCTGTCTTTCCTACAGTCCGTTTTCCCCTCTCATCAGACTGGCTTAGCCCTACACTGGGCCTGGCCTCGCTGGATACTCCACTATTTACTCATTTTGTCACTGAGTTTTGTTTTGTCTAGGAGTCCCTTTTTCATTTTTATTTCATAGAGCTACACACAAAATACTTATCCATTCTGGAGAATGGGGACGGCACAGCCACAGAACTAGAATGATCACTAGTTCATTCTAGACATGTGCTGGCACTTAAATTTGGAAAACACGTTTGTTATAGAATAATATTTGTAATAGTGTTGCACCATTTCTCTAGCACAATATAGGCTAACCTTATACAATGTAACCGTTAAACTTCCTTTGAACGCCCAGCAATGTTATTTGTCATTTATTTGCTTCAACCACCAGCTTTTATTAGAGACTGGTGTTTATTTTCTAAAATGTGGAACAATGTTTTCTTATAACATGATAAAGGCATTAGAAAGTTGTTGCCTGGTTGTTGTGGCCAAATAATAACATATTCTGTAGATTAGAACCAGCAGGGCAGAAACGGGACAATCAACGAAAGCAAGCAAGACACATCGGGGACAGGTTTTTTTCTTCTGCTTATATCTTTATATAGTCTAAGATGAAGTTGTCCCTACACAGACTGAGAATCAATCAATCAAATGTATTTTATAAAGCCCTTTTTACATCAGCAGTTGTGCTTGAAAGATACATTTTTACATTTGAGTCATTTTAGCAGACGCTCTTATCCAGAGCGACTTACAGTTAGTGAGTGCATACATTTTCATACAGGGCCAAACGTGTGAATCGAACCCACAACCCTGGCGTTGCAAGCGCCATGCTCTACCAACTGAGCTACACATGGCCTTAGATACCCAGCCTAAATACCCAAAGAGCAAGCAATGCAGAGGCAGAAGCACAGTGGCTAGGAAAAACAATCCTATAATATAATAATAATATATATAATAATAATATAATATGCCTCCAGTGATGATTTAGGGGCAACGTTATTCTACATCCATAAACTCCTAAGAACCATATATTTCTATGGGAATCTGTTACCACCCCATGTCCAAACCCAAACCTCTTCATATAAGCATTTCCCCCATGCATGCAATGCTGTGATACTAACACACAGTAGCAGTCCTGTCTATGGATGACACCCATTCCCATCAATTAACACCTAACATCTATAACCCATTATCCTATGCACGACTAGTAGATTCTGTCCAGCTGCCAAAATGCTACTGGCTGTGTTGTGTGCAGATGTTTAACTCATGATGATGATGTCATGTCCTCTGATGGTTTGGTTGATATAGAGCAGCTGCATGGTGGTGGGGACGGTGCATGACACGTTGCAGCCTTGCTGTATAACAGTCTGACCATATCATGTATTCTGGCACACTGAGACCCCTAGGACCTTGTATGGGCTAAGGCTATGATGGGGATGCCTGTGTGATGACATGAACTGGATACAGAACTATTGATTCGCGTGTGTGTTGGAGTTTGACAACTAATCCAGGGTTTGGGTTCTGAAACGGGACCCTCCAGATCGTGTGTGTGTGTTTCTGTGTGTATCCTGTTGGATAGTGTGCTGTATTAGGTGCATGGGTTTGGCCCTTTGACTCTCCTTTGATATGTTGTGATGTCTTGGTTTGTCTTGTGTAAAGAGAGCTTGTGGTCTTTGCGCACCCTTAGCAAAGAATGGGTGTTTGTGTGTCTGTTTAAATCTTACACACACACAACTGCTCTCCCTCTCCTCCTTGTTGCCCCTGCTTCTTTCTCTGATACTGACATCATAGAAAACAACATAAGACTTCTCTGTGTAACGTAGTATAACGTCTACACAGGCACTGTTTACATGGATGCACACACATTCAAAAACACAGGTGTGCGCATGTCCTCGGATAATCTCATACATTACACACTCTAGATCAGGGGTGTCAAACGTCCGGCCCGCGGGCCGGATCAGGCCCGCAAATGGGTTTAAACCGGCCCGCGAGATGATTTTGTAAAGTACAAAAATGCGCTGCAATTTTTCAATAAAATAAACTGCTGTTCCAATTGCGTCCACTGGATGGCGCAATAGCAATTGTGTTAAGCAAGCAAACTGTTTATACCGGGGCAGAGCAAGTAGGTCAAGCACGTGCAGCCAATCCGGATGAGCTACTTTGTTTTGCCCGCAATATTTATTACGGCTTCTACTTTTAACATTATGTGCTTTGGCACCCTCATTGCCCCAATATGTCTGTCAAAAAAGAGAAAAGTGGACGCAGAGTGCAGAGTGTTCCAAGAAAAATGGTCATCCTCCTATTTATTCACGGAATTGAATGGGAAAGCTGTATGTTTGGTGTGTTCACAGCATGTTGCAGTGCTGAAAGAATATAACCTTCGTCGCCACTATGTGAGTCTTCATGCCGACAAATATGACAACTTTCAAGGACAGCGGAGAAGAGAGAAGGTGAATGAACTGTTGGCGGGTCTGAAGAAACAGCAGTCTGTGTTTACTCACAGCCGAGACATCAGTTTACGCTGCAGTGAAAGCTAGCTACCTCATTGCTAATGAAATCGCAGTGGCTTCAAAACCATTTAGTGAGGGTGAATTTGTAAAAACATGCATGATGAAGGCAGCGGAGATTGTGTGCCCTGAAAAGCGTCAGGTTTTTGTAAATATCAGCCTGACAAGAAACACAGTTGCAGACAGGATTTCCGATCTTTCAGTGGATTTGGACAGCCAGTTGAAGCAAAAAGTAAAGTCATTTATTGCGTTTTCGGTTGCAATTGATGAAAGCACGGACATTACAGATGTTGCACAACTGGCCATTTTCATCCGCGGAGTTGATGACACATTGACCGTCACCGAGGAGTTCGTGGAGTTGGTGCCGATGACAGATACAACGACCGCAGCTGATATTTTTACCGCACTCGTCGGCGCGCTGTACAGGGTCGGAGTGAACTGGTCCCGCGCTGTCAGCCTGGCTACAGATGGTGCGCCCTCAATGATCGGGAAAAAAGTAGGCGTTGTGACAAAGTTCAGAGAGAAAGTGCAATCTGCAAATGGAGGACGTGATATTTTTACTTTTCACTGTATTTTGCACCAGGAGGCTTTGTGTTGCAAGTCATTAAAGATGGATAATGTCATGAAGGTGGTCATCCAAACTGTTAATTTCATCCGATCCAGAAGCCTGAATCACCGTCAGTTTGACAGCCTTCTCAGAGAGAAAGACCACATCTATGGCCTGCCATACCACACTGAGGTAAGATGGTTAAGCCGAGGTGCTGTGCTGAGGCGTTTCTTTGATTTACGAGAAGAAATTGAACAGTTCATGGAAGAAAAGGGCAAACCAGTGTTAGAATTTCATTCCGCAGGACCTTTGTATTTATGGTGGATGTTACAGAGCACCTGAATAACTTGAACAAACAGCTGCAAGGGCGCAACAAAGTTGTCACGCAGTATTATGACAGCATACGTTCTTTCAAGTTGAAGCTGTCGTTGTGGGAGACGCAACTCGCCGGTGGTGATGCAGCTCACTTCCCCTGTCTGAAAAATGTGTGCGCGACCCAACATGTGGCAGACATGAAGCGGTTCAAGGATAAAATAACGGGACTGTTACGGGAGTTTGAGCAACGCTTTCAGATTTTTGGTGAACTGGAGAAAGACTTCAAAGTTTTTTGCTCGCCATTCACTGTGAATCCCTCTGATCTGCCCATCAGCATCCAACTTGAAATAATAGACTTGCAGTGTGACTCGGATTTGAAGGGCAAATTTGCCGCAGCTGGCTTGGACACATTTTATCAGAATCTCTTGCCAGGTTACCCCAACTTGACAGCCCTCGCTGCAAAACTGTTGTGCAAGTTTTCTCTGTAATGAGCATAAATAAAACAAAGCTGCGCTCAAGGCTCACGCACAAGCACTTGAATCACATCCTGAAATTGGCTGCCACTCAGGATGTGACGCCTGATATTGATGCGCTGGTGAAAGCTAAAAGATGCCAGGTATCAGGAGTCAAATAAACTATGCAACCCCACTTAAAGTGCTGCATGAGACACCCTGATATAGTTCTGTGATCTGTGATATACTTCTGTGAATCACTGAGGCATTGTGTGTTTGTGTGTTCTTTGTCCTCAGAACTTTCAAATAACTTGAGGTGTTTTATGATTAATAGTGATGTTGTGCTTTTGGACACACTGTCCTCAGGCTCCAGCTTTATGTTTTTATGTTGATGTGCTATTGTTTTTAATTGTTTTTATTTTATTTGTATATTTAACCTATTCTTGACTCTGTGGTTCTTGCACTTGTTTGGGGAACAGGATTTCATTATTTTTATCTACATTTCTGCCTGAGAAATGACACCCTGATATAGTTCTGTTACCTGTGAAACAGTTCTGTTAATCACTGAGGCATTGTGTGTTTGTGTGTTCTTTTTCTTTAGAATTTTCAAATAAACTTGACGTGTTTTATGATTAATAGTGATGTTGTGGTTGTACTATTTTGGACACACTGTCCTCAGGCTCCAGCTTTATGTTTTATGTTGATCGTATTAAAAAAAAGAAAACAATCTGAAGTTGTTGTTTTTAAGTTATATATACCATGATTTTTCCGGTCCGGCCCACTTGGGAATAGATTTTCCTCCATGTGGCCCCTGAGCTAAAATGAGTTTGACACCCCTGCTCTAGATAGACACTGAGGGTTTGCTGGTGCAGACTTGTAGATCTAACTGTGTGTTCACTCTGATTAATGCAGCCCTCCTGTATCATTTGGTAAGTTCACACATACAAATACATTCCTACAGTGCTCATGCCCCCCTTACCCTTAGAACTCTTTGCTCAGTAGTGTTGCCTTCAGGTAAAGTGTTCAAATTGGCACATTCTTGATCTGACTTGTTTTATAGGCTGCCTCCTTTGGGGATGTACCAGAGGTGATTGTCGCACTTCAGGAGAGGTGCTTATCTCTGAGATCTGGGGAGCGATCCCTGCTTGTCTCCTTGGAGTGGAGTTGGTTTTGTTGTGTAGGGGGGCCATTTTGGATTGGTGTGATGTAAACAAGCCAGGACTGTCTGAGTCTATGTCATTAGGTATTATGGATTTACTAGTCATGCCGTTTCTCACAAAGTATTTTCTGTTCTCTCACTTTGCCTCTCCTCTACTCCATCTCTCTCTCTCTCTCTCCGTCCCACAGACTGGAGCAGACCTTGAGGACCCCTGGTAACTGCCCAGCAGAACTGCCTGTTCCTACACCAGGACTCCTTTTATACACAAGACATCTTTACTCACTTTTTTCCTTTTTATTTTTCCTACGATACCAAGAGATCGATTGGACCATAAATGCAGATTTTTTTTAAAAACTGTTAAAACACACAACACAAAGGATTGCAAACCATTTTTGATTAAAAAAGGGGGTTCAAAATTCAAAAGGCACTCTCACATCTGAGCTATCTTTGCTGCAGGTGCATGCTAACAATTGAATAACATGAGAAAAAATAAGAAACCCGCACACGTCAGAGCTTTGACGAAGGCCATAAAGGCCGATACGTAAAGCTTAATAAAGAGCAGCGATACTAGCAAGAGCAGTGTGGGGGTTTCTTCTTTTTTCTCATGTTAGAACAGGGGGGAAAGAAGGACTGCGAAGGTAGTATAAAACATGTACACAAAATATAAATACTAGAGAAATTAAGACTTCTGTTGTTTTTTCCTTTTTATTGCTTTTTTGTGGTTGTTTTTCTTTTTGTGCTGATGAAGAGACACTAGGGCTGTAGTTGGGACATTTTGTGGCCCATCCCTGTACACTCTGTGGTGCCTTTTTCCCTATCGCTGAGGATGAAGGAGCTAGCAGCCAGACGTTAACTGACCAGGCCCTAAGGCCCTGCTTCCAGACACAAGGGGCCCAACAGAGGACCACCACTGGGTCAGGGACTCACTGGCATGTGTCTTCCTGGCTGGACATTGCTACTGGGACTTCAGATAGACAAACCAAATGTGTGGACAGGACAGGAGTGACTGGCTGCATTGTACGGCATTACTTGTGTGGAAGGGTTTGGAGACTGACCACTTTTTGCACCTTTTTCCCTCACCTTTTCTCTCCAACCAACAAAAAAACTATGGGTAACCAGCTAATGTTTGCATTGACAGACACTGCCTCAACTTGCAAGCATTTCACTTCCATAAGCTTTCTAGCCTGCTGTTGATCAAGAAAAATTTTAAATATATATAAAATCCATATATTTTTGATTTACGTAACAAAAAAACAGAAAATGGTGTCAGATGTGGCTTACAGTGTGTGTGTAAAGATGAGGAAGTTGCTGGTCTGTTGACTTTAGGAGTGAAACAGAGCTCTTGTTTGACACATGAGGAGATGTCTGTTATGATGTGATATCTACACGTGTGTGTACAAACCAGCCACCCAAGGACTCTGGGTTTTTGGGCTAAAGGGATTCTAACTGCCCACCAAAGCCTCACTACTCATTTCTCCTTGCACTTCTCTCTCTTTCATATTAGTTTATCCTATTTTCTGTCTTTCTTTCCTCACCCTCTCCTTAAAATGCAGAAACGGACTCTTGTTACAACTTGCCTTTTATTTAATTTTACTCCGACAATATTGTAAAGTGTCATTTTTTTCATTAAGCAAATTGACATTTCTAGGCAATGATGACGAGTTCACCTTTAATTTCTTTTTCAAATGCAGTGTTAATAGTGTAATATGGTTGTTCCATTGCATTCTCTAAATTTCAATAGAAATTGGTTGTATGAAAAAACTAAACAGATTAAATGTGTTAAAAGGAGAAGTCAAGCACGATTTAGTGTGCCAGAGAGGGGTGAGGTCGATCTGGGCCCAGGTTTCTGGCTTGGCTATGATCTGGTACACAAGCCTTGGGTGCCGTATGACTAAGGTACTTGAATGTTGGGTGGTTCTATTTTTGCAATAACATAGATTTTCATTAGATATTTTTTTTGGGGGGGGGGTTTAATTATTTTTTAGCTGTGCTTGTATTGTGTTGGAGGAATGCGTGGGGTGGGATGGTGGTCAGACGGGTGGGGCGGGGGTGATGGTTCCAGTTAATGGGTATGTTTAAGCTATAGCAGACACTGGGTTAAGAAGGTGTGGGGCTGCTTTGAATGTAATTCACCTTCAAACTAGACTACACTGCACAGGCTGAGCGGAGGCCATAGACGCTTTCCTCCCCCTGGTCATTTGATGACCGAACTTACCCTGGCATTCAGTTTTCATTGTGTTTCATTGGAATATATAGGCTATAGAGTTATATTAATAAGATCTTTATTCTCCCTCAACTTCCTCCCTAACTGTAGCAATTTGCTGGGCCCCGCCCCCTATTACTAACTGTAATGATTGAAAAATGAGAATGTTTGTGATGTTTTGGGGGCTGGAAATGAACTTGGTGATATAGTGCCCATGTCATTCATCCTGATTTTCCTTTTAACTTTTTTTTGTGTATCTACAAGTATTGATATAAAGAATGGTGATGATTTCCACATTTTATTTATTCCTGATTTTAGCCTTTTAAATGAGAGGTGCTGTATTTGAAAATGGTATGAGGTTATGATATGTGTAGGCGTGGCAGGGTGTACCCCGCCCACTCTGCAGGGTCACCTTAGTGATGAGGGTAGCGAGGGGTTCAGGGGTCGATCGTGGGTTTTCACCATACCTCCTTGTACTGATAGTTCCCAGTATAACATTGTGATGTTTCAGACCATACCGTGAGCATAATCTTCAATAAAGGATGGGTACATTTAGATGAAATTATTATGCTCTCTGTGTTAACTTTCAGTCCTGCATGGGTGTACACACACACTTACATTTACGTCATTTAGCAGACGCTCTTATCCAGAGCGACTTACAGTTAGTGCATACATTATTCTTTTTTATTTTCATACTGGCCCCCCGTGGGATTCAAACCCACAACCCTGGCATTGCAAACGCCATGCTCTACCAACTGAGCTACCTCCCTGCCGGCCATTCCCTCCCCTACCCTGGACGACGCTGGGCCAATTATGCGCCGCCCCATTGGTCTCCCGGTTGCGGCTGGCTACAGCAGAGCCTGGATACGAACCAGGATCTCTAGTGGCACAGCTAGCACTGCGATGCAGTGCCTTAGACCACTGCGCCACTCGGGAGACCACACACTCACAATGTAGAGTTGGGATATTGGGTTGTCCTGTTCTCAAACTGATAATAATAATAATATGCCATTTAGCAGACGCTTTTATTCAAAGCGACTTACAGTCATGCGTGCATACATTTTTTTTGTGATAAGATGGTGACTTTATATGAATGACAAATCTGTTTTGTTTTATCATAGTGTTTGTGGTACATCTTGTGCCAGAAGAAATTGCACATAAATCATCATCTAAAAATGTATAATTCACAATTATAATCTTCTGATTCTAGGGAAATGTGGCTGCATTCAGTCTTCAAATGTTAACTCAATGTATTCAAGGCCATTGCATTCAAACCAACAAATAGAGCAAGAGGATAATCTCTGACCACACGTTTACAACGCTCCAATTTCCCACATTCCGAAGAGTGGGGGTTGTACTATGGACCCTGTGACTAATACTACCTTTTATAGAGTGCTGTTTGAACAAATGATTACAACGAGTCAGTTTCTCTCAACAAATGATTTAGAAGTAGACAGGCACAAGTTCCTAGACATGAGCTCAGGTACAGCCAACGGCAGCAGTATGGAACTGGGGGAGTGCATCCGAAACACGGGCTTCCATGAGGATGACAAGACGGAGGATGCTGTTGGTGGCGATGAAGAGAACAGGACTTCGACGGTCAGGATGTCCCCGGGCGGAGAGGAGGATACCTATACCCAAATCAAACCTTACGCGGGAATGCCCAAAGAGGTCCTGCTTTTATATTCAGGCCAAGCTCGCTACCGGCTGCCCCGGGAGATCCTGTTCTGGCTGACCGTTGCGAGCACCTTGGCGCTGGTCGCACTGACCATCACGGTGGTCGTTCTGTCGCCCCGTTGCCTCAGCTGGTGGCAGTCCTCTCCTGTGTACCAGATATACCCGCGCTCCTTCAAGGACTCAGACAGCGATGGCATCGGAGACCTCAAAGGTAGTATATTCAAATTCTTTAGAGTAGCCTATTTTCTCATAACCTACTTGGTGTTCGTATTAATTCATTGTCATAATTCATAAAACGTTGGTGTAGCACGGTGAGCACTATCCAACTCCAATGAATTATGGCGCATGTTAGTAGAACTATGGCTATACCATTATGTTTGATGAGTCTATTTAAGAGCATGATGAGCGCTTACCTGGAGTCATTACCGCCGGGTATTGAAGTCAGAGGATTGTTGTTCGTGCTTTAAATTGCACTTGTTTTACGCATCACTCGTTTTATGGTCATAAACATCAGTCTCCAAACATCCCCACATATTTCCCAGAATCAAGGAGACATAACATCCTGAGCAACAAACCCGTTACAGACTTAATACTCTTACTGTACCCTTCCTCTAGTAGAACTACCACAGCTCCAGCTAAGAGGTCTGGACCTTTATGGTACAGTAGATATTGGCTTGCCCTTTAGCCGGAGAGTTAATGGTTCAAGCCCAACCTTGACTATTGCACAATAACTTGATAATAGATAACGATATAGATAATAAGATGGTTGACAATCAGATAAATATACACTACCGTTCAAAAGTCTGGGGTCACTTACAAATGTCCTTGTTTTCGAAAGAAAAGCATTTTTTTTGTCCATTAAAATAACATCAAATTGATCAGAAATACAGTGTAGACATTGTTAATGTTGTAAATGGCTATTGTAGCTAGAAACAGCTTTAATGGAATATCTACATAGGCGTACAGAGGCCCATTATCAGCAACCATCAGTCCTGTGTTCCAATGGCACATTGTGTTTGTTAATCCAAGTTTATCATTTTAAAAGGCTAATTGATCATTAGAAAACCCTTTTGCAATGATGTTAGCACAGCTGAAAACTGCTGTGCTGATTAAAGAAGCAATAAAACGGGCCTTGAGACTAGTTGAGTATCTGGAGCATCAGCAATTGTGGGTTCGATTACAGGGTCAAAATGGCCATGCAAGAAATTGCCAAGAAACTGAAGATCTCGTACAATGCTGTATACTACTCCCTTCACAGAACAGCGCAAACCGACTCTAACCAGAATAGAAAGAGGAGTGGGAGGCCCCGGTGCACAACTGAGCAAGAGGACAAATACATTAGTGTCTAGTTTGAGAAACAGGCACCTCACAGGTCCTCAACTGGCAGCTTCATTAAATAGCACCCACAAAACACCAGTCTCAACGTCAACAGTGAAGAGGCGACTTCTAATCTTTTCTTTTTATTGGCCAGTCTGAGATATGTATTTTTCTTTGCAACTCTGCCTAGAAGGTCAGCATCCCGGAGTTGCCTCTTCACTGTTGACGTTGAGACTGGTGTTTTGCGGGTACTATTTCATGTTCTGTGAAGGGAGTAGTACACAGCGTTGTACGAGATCTTCAGTTTCTTGGCAATTTCTCGCATGGAATAGCCTTCATTTCTCAGAACAAGAATAGACTGATGAGTTTCAGAAGAAAGTTATTTGTTTCTGGCCATTTTGAGCCTGTAATCGAACCCACAATTGCTGACGCTCCAGATACTTAATCAGCACGACAGTTTTCAGCTGTGCTAACATCATTGCAAAAGGGTTTTCTAATGATCAATTAGCCTTTTAAAATGATAAACTTGGATTAGCAAACACAACGTGCCATTGGAACACAGGACTGATGGTTGCTGATAATGGGCATCTGTACGCCTATGTAGATATTCCATTAAAGCTTTTTCTGATCAATTTGATGTTATTTTAATGGACAAAAAAATTGCTTTTCTTTCAAAAACAAGGAAATGTCTAAGTGACCCCAAACTTTTGAACGGTAGTGTATATATATTTATTTCATACACTAACATTATTTAGAATCATCCTCCGTAGTGTCAAAAATCAGAAAGCAATGGTCAGAGTTCTAAGGTTCATGCACGGTCACTTAGTTTTGCCACTGTGGTTTAACGTTATTGCACCGTATGTTCAGGCATCGTGGATAAATTGGATCACTTTCAGTACCTGAACATCAAGGCCATCTGGATCAGTCCGTTCTACAAGTCCCCCATGAAGGACTTTGGCTATGATGTGGAAGACTTTAGAGACATCGATCCACTCTTTGGCTCCATGCAAGACTTTGATGACCTCCTCGCTGCCATGCATGACAAAGGTGAGCAATTTTCACAATATATGTATATTTTAACAACCATAGTAGTACAATTCCTCACTGCTTTTCCACCACTCTCCTAAGTGTCACCTTTGACCTTTCTGCCCTCAGGGTTGAAGTTGATCATGGATTTTATCCCTAACCATACCAGTGACACGCACAAGTGGTTCAACCTCAGCAGTAGTGGACATCCGCAGTACAAAGACTACTACATCTGGACCAACTGCAATACTACCCACGCCCCCAACAACTGGGTGAGGATAATTTTCACTCTGTCATTGGTTGTTATCATAATTTAAGTTATATTTTGTAGAGGGATGACCAGTCCAGAGAATTAACCAAATAACTGTACTCCCCTGTGTGTGTGTGTGGGTCTTCTCCCCAGGTGAGTGTGTTTGGGAACTCCTCCTGGACATATGTTGAGGAGAGGCAGCAGTGTTACTACCACCAGTTCCTCAAGGAGCAGCCCGACCTCAACTTCCGCAACCCACATGTCCGAAGAGAGATGACTGTAAGATATTGCTCATGCACATACACACAATTTGTGGCCGATTAAAGACATGCTCCAGAACTTTGGCGACTAGTAAGTATTTTTGAAACCTCCCGCTTTGGGCTGGATGTGTCAATGTGTAGTTCATACATGCATAATCAATGAGCAGAATTACCGTGTTACCTCAATTAGCCACGAAATCCCTAGTTTGTAAGTGACTCGTTTTCTGGAAGCTGTGCTACGCTATTTTCCCCACATTTTCCCCCACGTGGGCCAGCCCTAGAACCCGAGCAATTTGAATTCTGGACAATGAGCTTCAACCCTTCACCATTTCAGTGACAGCTAGCAAGATGCACACACAGCAGAGTGAGAGCAGTGACGTGGTGCACTGATCTGCACATACAGTATGTGACGTAGTACCCATTTTCGGGGACCACTTTCTGCTTGTGAGCGCCACTTTCAGAACGACTGGCTCAAAAGTATAGAAAAGTATCGGAGATTTTCTTTAATCAAATAATTATACATTTGTCATGCTATATACAGTTTAAGTCGGAAGTTTACATACACCTTAGCCAAATACATAAAAAATGTTCTGTCTTAGGTCAGTCAGGATCGCCACTTTATTTTAAGAATGTGAAATGTCACTATAATATTAGAGAGATTTCTTTCAGCTTTTATTTCTTTCATCACATTCCCAGTGGGTCAGAAGTTTACATACACTCAATTAGTATTTGGTAGCATTGCCTTTAAATTGTTTATCTTGGGTCAAATGTTTCGGTTAGCCTCCCACAAGCTTCCCACAGTAAGTTGGGTGAATTTTGGCCCATTCCTCCTGACAGAGCTGGTGTAACTGAGTCAGGTTTGTAGGCCTCCTTGCTCGCCCACACTTTTTCAGTTCTGCCCACACATTTTCTATAGGATTGAGGTCAGGGCTTTGTAATGGGCACTCCAATACGTTGACTTTGTTGTCCTTAACTAAACTTTGGAAGTATGTTTGGGTTCATTGTCCATTTGGAAGACCCATTTGCGACCAAGCTTTAACTTCCTGACTGATGTCTTGAGATGTTGCTTCAATATATCCACATAATTTTCCTTCCTCATGATGCCATCTATTTTGTGAAGTGCACCAGTCCCTCCTGCAGCAAAGCACCCCCACAGCATGATGCTGCCACCCCCGTGCTTCACGGTTGGGATGGTGTTCTTCGGCTTGCAAGCTACTCCCCTTTTCCTCCAAACATATCAATGGTCATTATGGCCAAACAGTTCTATTTTTGTTTCATCAGACCAGAGGATATTTCTCCAAAAAGTACGACCTTTGTCCCCATGTGCAGTTGCAAACCGTAGTCTGGCTTTTTTATGGCGGTTTTGGAGCAGTGGCTTCTTCCTTGCTGAGCGGCCTTTCAAGTTATGTCGATATAGGACTCGTTTTACTGTGGATATAGATACTTTTGTACCTGTTTCCTCCAGCATCTTCACAAGGTCCTTTGCTGTTGTTCTGGGATTGATCTGCACTTTTCGCACCAAAGTACGTTCATCTCTAGGAGACAGAACGTGTCTCCTTCCTGAGCGGTATGACGGCTGCGTGGTCCCATGGTGTTTATACTTGCGTACTATTGTTTGTACAGATGAATGTGGTACCTTCAGGCGTTTGGAAATTGCTCCCAAGGATGAACCAGACTTGTGGAGGTCTACAATTGTTTTTCTGAGGTCTTGGCTGATTTCTTTTGATTTTCCCATGATGTCAAGCAAAGAGGCACTGAGTTTGAAGGTAAGCCTTGAAATACATCCACAGGTACACCTCCAATTGACTCAAATTATGTCATTTAGCCTATCCGAAGCTTCTAAAGCCATGACATAATTTTCTGGAATTTTCCAAGCTGTTTAAAGGGACAGTCAACTTAGTGTATGTAAACTTCTGACCCACTGGAATTGTGATACAATGAATTATAAATGAAATAATCTGTCTGTAAACAATTGTTGGAAAAATTACTTGTGTCATGCACAAAGTAGATGTCCTAACCGACTTGCCAAACTATAGTTTGTTAACAAGAAACTTGTGAAGTGGTTGAAAAATGAGTTTTAATGACTCCAACCTAAGTGTATGTAAACTTCCGACTTCAACTGTACATAATTTATTTCCCAGCAATAAGACCCAGTTTCCCAGGAATGGTAAAGAGTGAGAGGGGAGGGCTGAGTGATGAATGAGAGTGAGAGTAGCCCTGCTCTAGGTGATGATTGCTGTGCACTGTACTGTGTGAATGAGGGAGAGAGAGAGGAGTTGTTTCCGCCCCATTCAGCTCCTCCAGTCTGTTCTCACGTGAGTCCACCTAGGTGGGGGTTAAGAGAGAGTCTGGTGCCCCACTCATGTCACAGAGAAGCCTTTATACTCAGTTAGCTGGCATAGTACGGCTTACCTGGGCTCTCTGCCCACAGAGAGAGAGTATATAGAACACCTCTCAAACTCTTCAAAAATAATCCAGGCCTTCTCCTATGGTCACCTGTGCAAGTAAACAACAGTGGGGTCTCGGCAGCCTTCACCAATGTGTTGCTACAGTTGCCGTGGTTATTGATTGATGTTTTCTCCTCTGATTTAGTGGCCAGGTTACTCATTATCTCTGAGTAGTTACTATGGTTTTTACAACTGGACACAGTCAGAGAGCCCAAAGTGCAGGAGAGGGACAGGGACCATGTGTAACCAGTGGATGTGTGTCTGTGTGTTTTATCTATTGATGAGTGACTAGGTGTGTAAAATGACATCTGTGGTCCTTTATGAGAACAAGCAGACATTATACTGGACATGACTTGAGTTACAATCAATACATTCATGTTGAAATAACTAACATATGTACACCGAACAAAATGATAAACGCAACATGCAACAATTTTTGCAACAGATTTGACTGAGTTACAGTTCCTATAAGGAAATGAGTCAATTGAAATAAACGCCATACACGCTGTCTGCCATCTGCATGGTACAGTTGAAACCGGAATTAATACGTGAAGAGCACACTTCTCCAGTGTGCCGGTGAGCATTTGCCCACTGAAGTCGGTTACGACGCCGAACTGCAGTCAGGTCAAGACCCTGGTGAGGACGATGAGCATGCAGATGAGCTTCCCTGAGACCGTTTCTGACAGTTTGTGCAGAAATTCTTTGGTTGTGCAAACCCACAGTTTCATCAGCTGTCTGGGTGGCTGGTCTCAGATGATCACGCAGGTGAAGAAGCCAGATGTTGAGGTCCTGGGCTGGCGTGGTTACACGTGGTCTGCGGTTGTGAGGCCGGTTGGACGTACTGCCAAATTCTCTAAAACGATGTTGGAGGCGGCTTATGGTAGAGAAATTAACATTACATTATTTGGCAACAGCTCTGGTGGACATTCCTGCAGTCAGCATGCCAATTGCACCCACCCTCAAAACTTGAGACATCTATGGCATTGTGTTGTGTGACAAAACTGCACATTTTAGAGTGGCCTTTTATTGTCCCCAGCACAAGGTGCACCTATGTAATGATAATTCTGTTTAATCAGCTTCTTGATATGCCACACCTGTCAGGTGGATGCATTATTTTGGCAAAGGAGAAATGCTCACTAACAGGGATGTAATGACATTTTTGCACAACCTTTTAGCGAAATAAGCTTTTTGTGCATATTAAACATTTCTGGGATGTTTTACATGAAACATGGGACCAACACTTTACATGTTGCGTTTATATTTTTGTTCAGTATATAATTTATATAGAGAGCCCTACTCTCTTCACCCTGCAGATTTTCTATGTGACCATTTCTATGTGATTTTAAAAGCCATAGGCCCTGTGTAACTGCTTCCTTTCAACTCTCTCTTCAGGAGATTGTTCGTTTCTGGCTGGAGAAGGGAGTGGACGGGTTCCGTATGGACGCTGTGAAGCACATTCTAGAGGCCAAGCACCTGAGGGATGAGCCCCAGGTGGACCCACAACAAGATCCTGTGAGCCTCTCCTCATTTCAGCCCATACACCTCTCTGATCCTGGGGAAGACTGTACCAGATTTCCCCCTGATTACTTTTGTGAATTAGATACTGAGAAAATGCCTAAGGAAGGCACTCAAAGGCCTGACAAAATTAGTGTTTTAATGTAAAGTAACACCTAACAACAACATTACTTTATCACAGATTAATAGCATGGGCATACTCTAATGGGCTGCCAGATTGTTCAGCATAGGGGAATTAACTTTCCCCTTGAGAGAACGAGAGGCCGGTCTACATTCTCACAGGGAAGGGATTACTAGGAGCATATTTCTCTGGATTTGTGAGTCACCGTTATTTTCCTAATCTGGCACAAATACACCAAGCCTCGGCGGTTCCATCTGTGGCAGCACAGTAACTAGAGAAGGAGAGTCGAGGAAGTAACCTACACTGATACCATCCCCCCCCCCCCCCCCTGGTTTCCTCCCCTCTGGCCCTGATTTTCCTCTTTCCCCCCCTCTGGCCCTGGTTTTCCTCTCCCCCCCCCTCTGGCCCTGGTTTTCCTCTCCCCCCCCCTCTGGCCCTGGTTTTCCTCTTTCCTCCCCTCTCACCCCCCCCCCCCTCTGGTCCTGGTTTTTTCCTCTTTCCTCTGCTCTCTCCCCACTTTCAGGATACGATTGACACAGAGTTTGAGCTCCACCATGACTACACCACCACCCAGTTAGGGCTGCATGATATCCTGCAGGACTGGAGGGGAGAAATGGATGTCTACAGTAGAGAGCCAGGCCGATACAGGTATCCCACTGTCCTTTTCCCCCCTCAATGATTTGTCAGTAACACTTTACATGAAGTTGCTTTATACATGTGTAATAACACTTATTACTCCAGTAACAACATTGTTATAAACATGTTGTACATCATACTACCCAGGTATAATGGAAACTTAATATAAAGTGCTACCAATTGTCATATTCTGACTCACCTTCAAGTAAGTGGTATATTTCAATTTGTGTTGTCCTAACTTCCAACAGGTTCATGGTAGCTGAGTCCTATGACTATGAGGAGACTGAGAAGACCATGATGTACTATGGGACACCCTACGTCAAAGAGAGCGACTTCCCTTTCAACTTCTATCTGATGGACCTGCCAACTAATCTGACTGGAACTGGGGCTCAAGGCCTGGTCAATCTGTGGATGGCCAACATGCCAGTGGGGAAATGGCCAAACTGGGTGGTAAGTGAGTGGTTAGAAAAACAGAACTTGTCAACATCAGACATGTAAAAATGCAGTGTAACATTATGAGATAGCAGATATAAAGCTGTATTGATAAGAATTTCACATGAAAAACAGCATTTCCCCTGGATGAATAGTGGTCTTGATAGAGCCCTGTTCCATTCTCTTGTCTTTAGGTTGGGAACCACGATAAGCCTCGTATCTCCTCCAGTGTTGGCCAGGACTACATTAAAGTGATCAACATGCTACTGCTCACCCTGCCCGGCACACCCACCACTTACTACGGAGAGGAGATAGGCATGGTGAACATCAATGTGACCATCGACGAGATCCAGGACCCCTTTGGAAAGTTTAACCCTGTAAGTGTACCGAACCTGGGATGCATTCACTGAAGTAAAATGTTTTGAAGTAAAATGTTTTGAATGTTGATAGAAATTTCATGGCGGACATGATTGCATATTCTACATGACAGACCATTGTAGCTCTTTCTACACAATATATTTATATCTGAACATTCTGTAACGTTGCATTTTATTGAACAAGCCCTTGGTCTACATTAGGCTCAGCTCTCAACTTCTACCTGTTCTGGGCCTGCTTGTACAACAGTCAACATCCAGGACTCTCTAATGCTGACAATTGTTCCTGTTCCCTCCTGTAGAATGCCAGTCGTGACCCTCAGAGGTCCCCCATGCAGTGGAGTGATGGGCCGAATGCTGGCTTCAGTGATGCCAATCATACCTGGCTGCCTATGCACCCACACCACACAACAGTCAATGTGGAGGTAGAGTACACTGCTCTCTTAGTGAGGAGATCTGTGTTACAGTCCTCAGTGAAACAGTAATGAGCGCAGTGTAACATTGAAACAACAGTCTCTCCAGGATTCCGTGTTCGCAATCTTTTTGTGCAAAATCAACAATTCCCTGCATATTATTAACATTTTATATTTTAGTCATTTAGACAGGGTTTCCCAAAGTCGGTCCTGGGGCCTCACCTGGGTGCACGTTTTGGCTTTTGCCTTAGCACTACACAGCCGATTCAAAAAACCAACTCATCATCAAGCTTTGATTATTTGAATCAGCTGTGTAATGCTAGGGTTAAAACAAAAACGTGCATCCGGGGGGGGGGGGGGGCAGGACCGACTTTGCTAGGGTTAAAACAAAAACGTGCACCCGGGGGGGGGGGGGGGGGGGGACCGACTTTGGGAAACCTTGATTTAGTAGACTTATCCAGAGCGACTTACCGGAGCAGTTAGTTAAGTGCCTTACTCAAGGGCACAGACAGATTTTTCACCTAATTGGCTCGGGGCTTCGAACCAGCAACCTTTCGGTTATTGGCCCAACGCTCTTAATCGCTAGGCTACCTGCCTCCCCTATTATGAAAGGGCTTGCTAATTTGATCAATCACCGCACCATTTCTGCGTTAAACAGGCAAATCGTCGCAATATTATTGCATACAACTGACCCATCACCGCAGTACAAAAAGAGGCCTTGCAATTTCAACCAATCATCGCACATTTACCGCATCATTTGGTTCAATCAAGCCACACGTCAACAAACTTTTTCCCTCGTCAGCACATTTGTGACAAATTGGACAAAATCATTGCATATCACCATGCAAAATGTCAGAATTGCTGCAGCAAAATCAAGCAGCTTTGTCCACATACAGTATCACAAAAACTCCCACGAAAACCTGGTGGGACTGAAAAGAACAGTATTATGAGGTTGTGTGTATAGTTGTTCACTGTCATCGGATTGATACTATCAATTCTCTATTCTCCATGCCCTCCCAAGGCTCAGCAGAAAGACAGCGGGTCAGTTCTGTCTCAGTACCGTGCCCTGAGTCTCCTGCGACAGGCCCAGCTGCCTCTCCATCGGGGGTGGATGTGTTACGTCTGGAGCGACGCGGACGTCTTTGCCTTTCTGAGGGAGATAGACGGCCTGGACAAGGCCTTCCTCGTGGTGCTCAACTTTGGAGCGGACTCTGTTATAAACCTCTCAGCCATAACAGAGCTGCCGGAGAAGCTAACACTTCATATGAGCACCAAGCAGGAAAACTATGGGATGCCGGTGATTAAATCTTCAATTTCCACGGCGCGAGGGGAGGGGCTGCTACTTGAGTACTCCACCCACGTGCGGTTCAACCCTGGCCACGCCTCCCAGTGTTTTGTCTCAGAGAAGGCCTGCTACCTGGGAGTCTTGGACATTCTGTATAAGTGCTGAGTACTGCAGCCTCAGAGTGGGAGGAGAAATCACCATGTCCTCGACAATCAAATGTGTTATGATGAGACTGGCTGTGATTGAGTCAGTGTATGTTCAAATAAGTTGACTGTTTGTTCAAAATGGTTGTTATTTGTTGTCATTAAAAACAGCATTAATGTTCCAAACGTCATTCTCTTCTCACCACAAATATGCAGATGAAACAACTTATTTGCAGTTTTCACCCTTCTAATTTCATGACTGTCACTGTAGATCAGGGGTGTCAAACTCACTTTTCCCTGGGGGCTGCATTCAGTCTTCTCTGAGGTCCGGGGGGCTGGACTGAAAATGTTATTTCCTCAACGTCAAAATAAGCAAAACTAGTCCTGTATCCATTGCTTTTGGAATTTTAATTTAGGTGATTATTAGTGAGCTGGACAGAGTCAAGAAACTGTATAAATGTAGGGCCATTATCATTTCTACACAGTTTCGATTTGGTTTTAGTCATTTTAAAGTATACTGAACAAAAATATAAACCCAACATGTAAAGTGTTGGTCCCAAGTTTCATGAGCTGAAATAAAAGATCCCAGACATTTTCCATACGCACAAAAAGCTTTTCTCTAAAATGTTGTGCACAAATTTGTGTAAATCCCTGTTAGTCAACCTTTCTCCTTTGCCAAGATAATCCATCCACCTGACAGGTGTGGCATATCAAGAAGCTGATTAAACAGAATGATCATTACACAGGTGCACCTTGTGCTGGGGAAAATAAACGGGCACTCTAAATTGTGCAGTTTTGTCACACAACACAATGCCACAAATGTCTCAAGTTTTGAGGGTGCGTGCAATTGGCATGCTGACTGCAGGAATGTCCACCAGAGCTGTTGCCAAAGAATTGAATGTTAATTTCTCTACCATAAGCCGCCTCCAATTTGGCAGTACGTTCAAACTGGCCTCAAAACCGCAGACCACGTGTAACCACGCCAGCCCAGGACCTCAACATCTGGTCCTCTGTAGCTCAATTGGTAGAGCATGGCGCTTGTAACGCCAAGGTAGTGGGTTCGATCCCCGGGACCACCCATACGTAAAAATTTATGCGCACATGACTGTAAGTCGCTTTGGATAAAAGCGTCTGCTAAATGGCATATTATTATTATTATTAATCTGCGGGATAGTCTGAGACCAGCCACCCGGACAGCTGATGAAACTGTGGGTTTGCACAACCAAATAATTTTTGCACAAACTTTCAGAAACCGTCTCAGGGAAGCTCATCTGCATGCTCGTCGTCCTCACCAGGGTCTTGACCTGACTGCAGTTCGGTGACGTAACCGACTTCAGTGGGCAAATGCTCACCTTCGAAGGCCACTGGCACGCTGGAGAAGTGTGCTCTTCATGGATGAATCCCGGTTTCAACTGTACTGGGCAGATGACAGACAGCGTGTATGGCATTGTGTGGGCGAGTGGTTTGCTGATGTCAACGTTGTGAACATAGTGCCCCATGGTGGGGTTATGGTATGGGCAGGCATAAGCTATGGACAACGAACACAATTGTATTTTATCGATGGCAATTTGAATGCACAGAGATATTGTGACGAGATCCTGAGGCCCATTGTGCCATTCGTCCACCGTCATCACCTCGTTTCAGCATGATAATGCACGGCCCCATGTCGCAAGGATCTGTACACAATTCCTGGAAGCTGAAAATGTCGCAGTTCTTCCATGGCCTGCATACTCACCAGACATGTCACCCATTGAGCATGTTTGGGATGCTCTGGATCGACGCATACGACAGCATGTTCCAGTACCCGTCAATATCCAGTAACTTTGCACAGCAATTGAAAAGGAGTGGGACAACATTCCACAGGCCACAATCAACAGCCTAATCAACTCTATATGAAGGAGATGTGTCACGCTGCATGAGACAAATGGTGGTCACACCAGATACTGACTGGTTTTCTGATACACGACCCTAGTTTTTTTTAAAGGTATCTGTGACCAACAGATGCATATCTGTATTCCCAGTCATGTGAAATCCATAGATTAGGGCCTAATTCATTTATTTCAATTGACTAATTTCCTTCTATGAACTGTAACTCAGTCAAATCTTTGAAATTGTTGCATGTTGCTTTTATATTTTTAGTTCGTACCTCCCCAAAAAATTGTTTTTGCTTTTACCCAAACCACCCGTGGGCCGGATTGGACCCCTTCGCTGGCTGGATCTGGCCCGTGGGTCGTTTGAGTAAAAACAAAAACATAATTTGGGGGGCCGTGTGTTTGACACCCCTGCTGTAGATCATACATGTATCTCTATATGGCTCTGATGAGTTCTCCTCCCCACTTCCTTCTACCTCCGCCTGTTTTTGGTCTTCTGCTGGTTCAGACGCAGCTCTGTGTGGAGAAAAGCCAGCTGTCGAGCACTCTGAGTGGGGGAGGGAGAGAGACAGGAGTGAGCTGTCAGGTCAGCCTGAGAACACCACTATATAATACTGTAATCCTGTTACCTGAGTCCCATAACTCCATATCAACACTGCCAACGTGTTTATAACTCAACAACCTTGGTTGGCAGGTTAGAGTGACTCTTATTACAGTTTATGTATTTATGATTATGGAGTATAAAGCTTCTTCATGGGTGTGTACAAAATAGCACCCTATTTTATATGTAGTGTTCAACAATCTACACTGCACTATATATGGAATAGGGTGCCACTCAGATTTGCCCAGACTGTTTATGGATCAGAGAATGATCAGTTCATATAGTTGTGGACTCTATAAAAGAAGGGATATAATGAGAGAGCCCATAGATACCTCAGTCAGAGACAGTTCAAAGTCCCCTGGGCCAAAGTGGTCTGCTCCTGGTTGAAGGTCCAGAATGACACTGGGTGTGGGCTCAGATTCTGGAGACAGAGATGACAACACACAAACAACAAATTAGCAAACAAACCAGCATTGTTTATCATGTCCAATACAAGTGGCCGATCTCTGTCAACATGACCTCATCAGAGGTTGTCATTGTCAGGGATGAAGGGTTTACTGGATGTAGGGTTCTGATCGGAATGTGCCATCAGCGGCTGCAGTCTGGCTGGGTGCAACAATATCCAGTCCCTCTAGTACCAAAAATGGTCATTTGAAACCAATAGAAGCTAAGATCTTTTAGGCTGGGTGCAACAGCAATAGGTGTTTCCCCTATAATGTAGTGAGTGGCTGGTGTGTTCTGTAGTGTTTCCTCCTGTGATCAAAGCTTAATGAGAAGAGCAGAGGAAACGAGGAGCTACAATCTAAACTCGATGTCCTCAATCTCACACAAATTATCAAGGAACCTACCAGATACAACCCTAAATCCGTAAACATGGGCACCCTCATAGATATCATCCTGACTAATTTACCCTCTAAATACACCTCCGCTGTCTTCAACCAGGATCTCAGCGATCACTGCCTCATTGCCTGCGTCCGTAATGGGTCCGCGGTCAAACGACCACCCCTCATCACTGTCAAATGCTCCCTAAAACACTTCAGCGAGCAGGCCTTTCTAATTGACCTGGCCTGGGTATCCTGAATGGACCTCATTCCGTCAGTAGAGGATGCCTGGTTGTTCTTTAAAAGTGCTTTCCTCTCCATCTTAAATAAGAATGCCCCATTCAAAAAATTCAGAACTGAGAACAGATATAGCCCCTGGTTCACCCCAGACTTGACTGCCCTTGACCAGCACAAAAACATCCTGTGGCGTACTGCATTAGCATCGAACAGCCCCCGCGATATGCAACTTTTCAGGGAAGTCAGGAACCAATATACACAATCAGTTAGGAAAGCAAAGGCTAACTGTTTCAAACAGAAATTTGCATCCTGTAGCACTAACTCCAAAAAGTTTTGGGACACTGTAAAGTCCATGGAGAATAAGAGCACCTCCTCCCAGCTGCCCACTGCGCTGAGGCTAGGAAACACTGTCACTACCGATAAATCTACGATAATCGAAAATTTCAACTAGCATTTTGCTATGGCTGGCCATGCATTCCACCTGGCTACCCCTACCCCGGCCACCAGCTCTGCACCCTCCGCTGCAACTTGCCCATGCCCACCCCGCTTCTCCTTCACCCAAATTCAGATAGCTGATATTCTGAAAGAGCTGCAAAATCTGGACCCCTACAAATCAGCTGGGCTAGACAATCTGGACCCTTTCTTTCTAAAATTAGCCGCCGAAATTGTCGCAACCCCTATTACCAGCCTGTTCAACCTCTCTTTCGTATCGTCTGAGATCCCCAGAGATTGGAAAGCTGCCGCTGTCATCCCCCTCTTCAAAGGGGGTGACACTCTAGATCCAAACTGTTACAGACCTACAGTGGGGGAAAAAAGTATTTAGTCAGCCACCAATTGTGCAAGTTCTCCCACTTAAAAAGATGAGAGAGGCCTGTAATTTTCATCATAGGTACACGTCAACTATGACAGACAAATTGAGAAAAAAATTCCAGAAAATCACATTGTAGGATTTTTTATGAATTTATTTGCAAATTATGGTGGAAAATAAGTATTTGGTCACCTACAAACAAGCAAGATTTCTGGCACTCACAGACCTGTAACTTCTTCTTTAAGAGGCTCCTCTGTCCTCCACTTGTTACCTGTATTAATGGCACCTGTTTGAACTTGTTATCAGTATAAAAGACACCTGTCCACAACCTCAAACAGTCACACTCCAAACTCCACTATGGCCAAGACCAAAGAGCTGTCAAAGGACACCAGAAACAAAATTGTAGACCTGCACCAGGCTGGGAAGACTGAATCTGCAATAGGTAAGCAGCTTGGTTTGAAGAAATCAACTGTGGGAGCAATTATTAGGAAATGGAAGACATACAAGACCACTGATAATCTCCCTCGATCTGGGGCTCCATGCAAGATCTCACCCCGTGGGGTCAAAATGATCACAAGAACGGTGAGCAAAAATCCCAGAACCTCACGGGGGGACCTAGTGACTGACCTGCAGAGAGCTGGGACCAAAGTAACAAAGCCTACCATCAGTAACACACTACGCCGCCAGGGACTCAAATCCTGCAGTGCAAGACGTGTCCCCCTGCTTAAGCCAGTACATGTCCAGGCCCGTCTGAAGTTTGCTAGAGTGCATAAGAAGCATTTCAAGGTCCTGGAGTGGCCTAGCCAGTCTCCAGATCTCAACCCCATAGAAAATCTTTGGAGGGAGTTGAAAGTCTGTGTTGCCCAGCGACAGCCCCAAAACATCACTGCTCTAGAGGAGATCTGCGTGGAGGAATGGGCCAAAATACCAGCAACAGTGTGTGAAAACCTTGTGAAGACTTACAGAAAACGTTTGACCTGTGTCATTGCCAACAAAGGGTATATAACAAAGTATTGAGAAACTTTTGTTATTGACCAAATACTTATTTTCCACCATAATTTGCAAATAAATTCATAAAAAATCCTACAACGTGATTTTCTGGATTTTTTTCTCTCATTTTGTCTGTCATAGTTGACGTGTACCTATGATGCAAATTACAGGCCTCTCTCATCTTTTTAAGTGGGAGAACTTGCACAATTGGTGGCTGACTAAATACTTTTTTCCCCCACTGTATATCCATCCTGCCCTGCCTTTTGAAAGTATTTGAAAGCCAAGTTAATAAACAGATCACCGACCATTTCGAATCCCACCATACCTTCTCCGCTATGCAATCTGGTTTCCGAGCTGGTCATGGGTGTACCTCAGCCACGCTCAAGGTCCTAAACAATATAATAACCGCGATCGATAAAAGACAGTACTGTGCAGCCGTCTTCATTGACCTGGCCAAGGCTTTTGACTCTGTCAATAACCGCATTCTTATTGGCAGACTAAATAGCCTTGGTTTCTCAAATGACTGCCTCGCCTGGTTCACCAACTACTTCTCAGATAGAGTTCAATGTGTCAAATCGGAGGGCCTGTTGTCTGGACCTCTGGCAGTCTCTATGGGGGTGCCACAGGGTTCAATTCTCGGGCCGACTCTATTCTCTGTGTATATCAATGCCTCTTTCTAGAGCCCACAAGAAGGATCGCCGCGCCACCTTCCTGTTCAAGTGAGCACAGCACAACAAGGTGAGTCCAAATACAGTGGGGAAAAAAAGTATTTAGTCAGCCACCAATTGTGCAAGTTCTCCCACTTAAAAAGATGAGAGAGGCCTGTAATTTTCATCATAGGTACACGTCAACTATGACAGACAAAATTAGAATTTTTTTCTCCAGAAAATCACATTGTATGATTTTTTATGAATTTATTTGCAAATTATGGTGGAAAATAAGTATTTGGTCACCTACAAACAAGCAAGATTTCTGGCTCTCACAGACCTGTAAGTTCTTCTTTAAGAGGCTCCTCTGTCCTCCACTCGTTACCTGTATTAATGGCACCTGTTTGAACTTGTTATCAGTATAAAATACACCTGTCCACAACCTCAAACAGTCACACTCCAAACTCCACTATGGCCAAGACCAAAGAGCTGTCAAAGGACACCAGAAACAAAATTGTAGACCTGCACCTGGCTGGGAAGACTGAATCTGCAATAGGTAAGCAGCTTGGTTTGAAGAAATCAACTGTGGGAGCAATTATTAGGAAATGGAAGACATACAAGACCACTGATAATCTCCCTCGATCTGGGGCTCCATGCAAGATCTCACCCCGTGGGGTCAAAATGATCACAAGAACGGTGAGCAAAAATCCCAGAACCTCACGGGGGGACCTAGTGACTGACCTGCAGAGAGCTGGGACCAAAGTAACAAAGCCTACCATCAGTAACACACTACGCCGCCAGGGACTCAAATCCTGCAGTGCAAGACGTGTCCCCCTGCTTAAGCCAGTACATGTCCAGGCCCGTCTGAAGTTTGCTAGAGTGCATAAGAAGCATTTCAAGGTCCTGGAGTGGCCTAGCCAGTCTCCAGATCTCAACCCCATAGAAAATCTTTGGAGGGAGTTGAAAGTCCGTGTTGCCCAGCGACAGCCCCAAAACATCACTGCTCTAGAGGAGATCTGCGTGGAGGAATGGGCCAAAATACCAGCAACAGTGTGTGAAAACCTTGTGAAGACTTACAGAAAACGTTTGACCTGTGTCATTGCCAACAAAGGGTATATAACAAAGTATTGAGAAACTTTTGTTATTGACCAAATACTTATTTTCCACCATAATTTGCAAATAAATTCATTAAAAATCCTACAATGTGATTTTCTGGATTTTTTTTCTCCCATTTTGTCTGTCATAGTTGACGTGTACCTATGATGAATATCACAGGCCTCTCTGATCTTTTTAAGTGGGAGAACTTGCATAATTGGTGGCTGACTAAATACTTTTTTTCCCCACTGTATTTCCCTCAGATTACACAGATCCACAAAGAATTCGAAAACAAACCCAATTTTGAGGAGGAGAGCAGTAAGCCAGCAGCAGTCAGATTAGAGAGAGATGACTGAGGACTTTTCATGATTATTTATTTTATTTTAATTTATTTAACCTTTATTTAACCAGGTAAGCCAGTTGAGAACAAGTTCTCATTTACAACTGCGACCTGGCCAAGATAAAGCAAAGCAGTGCGGTAAAAACAACAACAGAGTTACATATGGAATAAACAAAACATACAGTCAATAACACAATAGAAAATCTATATACAGTGTGTGCAAATGTAGTAAGTTATAGAGGTAAGGCAATAAATAGGCCATAGTGCAAAATAATTATAATTTAGTATTAACACTGGAGTGATAGATGTGCAGAAGATGATGTGCAAATAGAGATACTGGGGTGCAAATTAGCAAAATAAATAACAATATGGGGATGAGGTAGTTGGGTGGGCTAATTACAGATGGGCTGTGTACAGGTACAGTGATCGGTAAGCTGCTCTGACAACTGATGCTTAAAGATAGTGAGGGAGATAAGTGTCTTCAGCTTCAGAGATTTTTGCAGTTCGTTCCAGTCATTTGCAGCAGAGAACTGGAAGGAATGGCGACCAAAGGAGGTGTTGGCTTTGGGGATGACCAGTGAAATATACCTGCTGGAACGCATACTACGGGTGGGTGTTGCTATGGTGACCAATGAGCTAAGATAAGGCGGGGATTTGCCTAGAAGTGATTTATAGATGACCTGGAGCCAGTGGGTTTGGCGACGAATATGTAGTGAGGGCCAGCCAACGAGAGCGTACAGGTCACAATGGTGGGTAGTATATGGGGCTTTGGTGACAAAACAGATGGCACTGTGATAGACTACATCCAATTTGCTGAGTAGAGTGTTGGAAGCTATTTTGTAAATGACATCGTCGAAGTCAAGGATCGGTAGCATAGTCAGTTTTACGAGGGCATGTTTAGCAGCATGAGTGAAGGAGGCTTTGTTGCAAAATAGGAAGCCGATTCTAGATTTAACTTTGGATTGGAGATGCTTAATGTGAGTCTGGAAGGAGAGTTTACGGTCTAACCAGACACCTAGGTATTTGTAGTTGTCCACATATTCTAAGTCAGACCCGCCGAGAGTAGTGATTCTAGTCGGGCAGGCAGGTGCAAGCAGCATTTGATTGAAGAGCATGCATTTAGTTTTATTAGCGTTTAAGAGCAGTTGGAGGCCACGGAAGGAGTGTTGTATGGCATTGAAGCTCGTTTGGAGGTTTGTTAATACAGTGTCCAATGAAGGGCCAGTTGTATACAAAATGGTGTCGTCTGCATAGAGGTGAATCTGAGAGTCACCAGCGCAACACACATTTGAATACCAGAGAATAGATCGCCCAGTTGAACCTTGTGCACCCCAAGAGACTGCAGAGTCCAGACAACAGGCCCTCGATGACACATTGAATTATCTGAGAAGTTGGGAACCAGCGGGCGCATTGAGAAACCAGGATTTGTCTCAATGGGTTATTGAAGAGTCAAAACCTGGCAGTCAATGAAACGGCTGCACATACTGCTTTTATCGATCGGGTTATATATTGTTTAGGACTTGACTTGAGGTAACCCATGACCAGCTCGGAAACAGATGCATAGCGGAAAGGTATTGGGGTTTCGAATGTCGGGATCTGTAAACTGGTAATACTCAAAGGAGGGCAGGATGATATACAGTGGGGGAAAAAAGTATTTAGTCAGCCACCAATTGTGCAGTTCTCCCACTTAAAAAGATGGAGAGGCCTGTAATTTGCATCATAGGTACACGTCAACTATGACAGACAAAATGAGAGAAAATCCAGAAAATCACGTTGTAGGATTTTTTATGAATTTATTTGCAAATTATGGTGGAAAATAAGTATTTGGTCAATAACAAAAGTTTCTCAATACTTTGTTATATACCCTTTGTTGGCAATGACACAGGTCAAACGTTTTCTGTAAGTCTTCACAAGGTTTTCACAGACTGTTGCTGGTATTTGGCCCATTCCTCCATGCAGATTCTCTAGAGCAGTGATGTTTTGGGGCTGTCGCTGGGCAACACAGACTTTCAACTCCCTCCAAAGATTTTCTATGGGGTTGAGATCTGGAGGACTGGCAGGCCACTCCAGGACCTTGAAATGCTTCTTACGAAGCCACTCCTTCGTTGCCCGGGCGGTGTGTTTGGGATCATTGTCATGCTGAATGACCCAGCCACGTTTCATCTTCAATGCCCTTGCTGATGGAAGGAGGTTTTCACCAAAATCTCAGCATGCCCATCATTCTCCTTTCAGTCATCGTCTGGTCCGCAGAAAACAGCCCCATGATGACCCCCATGCTTACAGTAGGTATGTTTTTTTGGATGCAACTCAGCTTCTTTGTCTCCAACACGACGAGTGGTTTTACCAAAAGTTATATTTGGTTTTCTGACCATAGACATTCACCGTCTGGATCACAATGCACTGCAAACTTCAGACGGCTGAGTAAGCAGGGACACGTCTTGCCTGAGGATGATCCTGGCGGCGTAGTGTGTTACTGATGGTAGGCTTTGTTACTTTGGTCCCAGCTCTCTGCAGGTCATTCACTAGGTCCCCCCGTGTGGTTCTGGGATTTTTGCTCACCGTTCATTGTGATCATTTTGACCCCACGGGGTGAGATCTTGCGTGGAGCCCCCAGATCGAGGGAGATTATCAGTGGTCTTGTATGTCTTCCATTTCCTAATAATTGCTCCCACAGTTGATTTCTTCAAACCAAGCTGCTTACCTATTGCAGATTCAGTCTTCCCAGCCTGGTGCAGGTCTACAATTTTGTTTCTGGTGTCCTTTGACAGCTCTTTGGTCTTGGCCATAGTGGAGTTTGGAGTGTGACTGTTTGAGGTTGTGGACAGGTGTCTTTTATACTGATAACAAGTTCAAACAGGTGCCATTAATACAGGTAACGAGTGGAGGACAGAGGAGCCTCTTAAAGAAGAAGTTACAGGTCTGTGAGAGCCAGAAATCTTGCTTGTTTGTAGGTGACCAAACACTTATTTTCCACCATAATTTGCAAATAAATTCATAAAAAATCCTACAATGTGATTTTCTAGATTTTTATTTTCTCAATTTGTCTGTCATAGTTGACGTGTACCTATTATGAAAATTACAGGCCTCTCTCATCTTTTTAAGTGGGAGAACTTGCACAATTGGTGGCTGACTAAATACTTTTTTCCCCACTGTATGTGTCTCTAATATGGTCATACATTTGGCAGGAGGTTAGGAAGTGCAGCTCAGTTTCCACCTCATTTTGTGGGCAGTGTGCACATAGCCTGTCTTCTCTTGAGAGCCAGGTCTCCCTACGGCGGCCTTTCTCAATAGCAAGGCTATGCTCACTGAGTCTGTACATAGTCAAAGCTTTCCTTAAGTTTCGGTCAGTCACAGTGGTCAGGTATTCTCTCTCTCTCTCCCTCCATGTGCTGTATTTCACAAGCCGCCTCCTGACCTTGCCAGAGCCCAGTGTATTGTTCCTTATCTCTCCTGCTGATACACTATCTCATAAACATGCTAATGAGCCCGGCTGTGGGTATGCGATCAGCACTTCATCAATGACAGAGGAGAGGGGTAAAGATTAGGGAGAGACCCTCTCTGCCTGTGTATGTCTGTGAGTGAGAGAGAGAGAGAAAATTAGACATATAATGTGTGTATATGTGACAGAATGAATGTGTGTGTGAGAAACAGAGTAGGAGACAGTGTGTGGTAGAGAGAGAGAGATGTGTGAAATTATTAAGGAGCGGTAAAGAGCTAGAGTAAGTCCCTCACTGGGGGAATTAGTATGATTTGATGACGCTGATTCACATAGAGCTGCTGTGCTACAAGGTGACCTCTGCTCTGTACTGGATATAAACTCTTACACTTCTAGCTATGATCCATTACAGCAGTCTCCTGAGGAACACGGACTCCTCTAGTGGGACCCGAACCTGACCACACTGCTGCTCTTTCAGGAAGAACAAAACTCTAAACAAAACTGTGGACAATTCAGGGATAATGAGCCTTCATTGGATTGTGCTTTAGGTAGAGGAACTGTTTCATGTCTATCTACTCACCAGATACAGGGTGGCCGTTGAGGTGTGTGTGGATTGCTTCCTGAAGTCTCTCCACGTACTTGTGTACTCCGGCTACAGGCACTCTGTTGTCTTCTATGTAGGCTGTGAGCAGCATGGAGGGGTAGTGCTGTTGAATACACACACACAAAAACGCTCATGTATTTTATGAAGCCCTTTTTACCTCAGCAGTTGTCACAAAGTGCTATACAGAGACGCAGCCTAAAACCCCAAAGAGCAAGCAATGAAGAAGCACAGTGGCTAGAACCCCCACACAGTTTAAAACTTGTTTGGGCAATGTTTGCATATTATTTGATGGTATTGTATTGTTGATGTGTACAGTAAGGTTTATAAGCTCACCTGAAGTGTAATGTTATGACAGGGGCAGTAGGAGGCGATAGTGTCTCTTTGGTAGGGGTCTGACATGGGGTCCCCCCATTCTCCCCTCTCCTCCAGCGTCAGGGGCAGACTTGGCTCCTGCATAGTGCCCAGCACATCAAGGAAAGGAGCCTGGAGACAGAAGAGATCACCTAACCAGTGACTTGTGCAGGTGAGGGCCTAATCCTTACTCAAGATAAGTGGCCCTACTGTAACTTGAACTTTCCCACTAATTATGCATTGATGTCAATGGGGTATTTGTGTGGAAAGTCAAGTTACACACACTTCTCAGAAGTTAGGATTCAGGCCGGAGAGAGCAGAGAAAATAGGGGTTGAAATGTGTGTGTTTCTGAAGGCTGCAGGTAGGGTCTGGGTGGTTTTACCTGTAGTGTGACAGCTCGTATGAGGTGGGGGTGTAGGTTACAGAGCGCTCCCACCAGTACGGCCCCGGCGCTGCGAGCAGTGAGGGCGGTCAGAGAGGGTCTGGACACCCCCAGGTCATAGAGCCTGTGGATACAGGCAGCCAGGTCCTCCACTCCTCTTGGTTTCCCTTCCATACGACCCTGTCTATGCCAGCCCAGGCCACGCTCACCTCCACCCCTACAACCACACGTAGTCAGAGTGGTAAAACATTCAGAAGCACTGCAAACTAATTTTTTTACAAGACAGATAATCATATCTGTTCTACACAAAACATTACAATGAGAGCACTAACAATTAATATAGCCGCCCACAACAACAGACTTTATCCTGTATGAACATCCAGTTTTTCTGTGGTGCAAAGGCTTCTGGGAGTTGTAGCGCTACCTGACGTGGCAGTAGGCCAGAGCCCAGCCATCCTCAAGCAGCAGTCTTCTGTCTGGGCTGAAGTCCATGTTAAGGTCAATGCCATAGGCCCCGTACACATGCACCAGCAATGGAGCACCCCTCAGCTCCTCCAACATAGGTCTGTGGAAGAGAGTCAGTGGCACCATGGTACCGTCCTATAGGCCAAGAGAGAGAGAGAAAGTACAGTAATCACTATAGACACACAAAATATTACATACTCTGTATTCACAAAAAAAAAACCTGTGTTTGTGTGTGAGAGCTCCTAGATTAGGGTGTTTCATGAGCCTCTGGTGAACCCTTACTGCAGGCTGGTAGGTCATCAGTGGATTACCAAAATACACTTCACACCCACCATTTCGGCATTGTACTCTTGAGGCTTTCCTCTCTGAGTGTGTGTGTATGATTCAGATCCAGTCTACCTGGCTGGGGGCCTCTAGTCGGGTGGTGTGATACTCCTGGGGGGTTCTGTGCTCCTCTGTGTCCTCCTGTAAGAGGAGCCTGTCCTCCCTGGGGGAGTAGCGGTACAGGACAGGGGGGTGGACTGGAGACGACAGGAGGAACTCCAACCAGCCACTGTCTGTCAGCCCAGCCCTCTTGGTCTCTATGGCACAGGCCCACGGTGGCAGCTGAGAGATGGAGAACAGTTCTGGTTAAAGGGATACTGCAAGATTTTAGTAATTAAGTTGTGGATGTCATTTTTATGTCTCTGCGTGCAGTATGAAGGAAGTTAGAGGTCGTTTCATGGCTTTGCTGGAATCTCACAGTATTCCTTTAAGGCCTAGCTTTCGTGGTACAGTCCACTACCAGTACACCTGGCTAGGCAGTGCAGTGTTAAACATGGTCATGACCATCAGAATGATCATCAACTGCCTCAGCAGGAGGAGACATAGAGTAGCCTGTTACAATGGAAACAAGTCTCTTGACTTTATGTATGTATCCTCTGTATATGGTGTAACATTTTATGTATTTTAAAATTGTGGAATAAAAATGTTCAAATCAAATCAGAGTGATGTCTTCATATAGCTATTCCTGTCACCTGCAGGGTGGTTGTGGTGGCTGGCTGGGATAGTGGGACCACCTGGAGTCCTAGCAGGCCTAAGGGGTCCCTGGTGGCCAACACACAGTGGTCCTGGAGCACCTCCATGTCCTTCACAGCTGTCCCAGGACCAGGGCTACACACTGGGACCCAATGTTCGATGGCCGGGGATGAGAGAGGTGCCCTCAACACCTGGGACAGCATAGAATAGAATCATAGATTATATTGATAACACATGCATTTATCAAGTCATGTACACATACAAACACAGTGTGCAACTGTGCATGCAGTTTGGGTTTGCATGCAGATCTACTGAATTGTCCATAGAGATCAATGCTTTTCTTTCAATGTCTATGGGGTTGTCTGAGGCAGTAGGCTACCTGGTACTCTTGTCCAGGGCCAGTGTTGGCCAGGATGTACAGCTGGCCGTGGGAGTGCTCTACATGGTACAGTAGCTCAGGGAGGCGGGCCTGTACCAGGGTGGGCTTCATAAGGGGCTTGGTGCTGTCAATCAGCCACACCTCAGAGCTTCTCTTACTGCTGCAGTTGACCAGCACCAGCCTCCTGTCTCTGGAGAGACTCACCTCCACAAACACACTGTGGACAAAATAACACTTAAGAAAGCAGAGCACTTTAACATATGTTCTCTGTGTTTCCATGGCTTGTGTCCTAACATGGCCTCTTCCAAACATTACAGTACATGATGTACAGTCACGCACACACACACACACCGGTGTGACAAAGGGAGGTGTGTGTAAGCCTTACTCAGGCTGCTGTTCCTGGTACACCAGGGTGCTTCCGGTCCCAGTGGCAGTCAGGTCCAGACGGAACACACGGTGACACTGGAGGTTCTGCTGACTGCTGTAGAACAGGATGTCATCTGTAGCCCACTCTACACACACACACACACACACAGGACAATCTTCATACATCTAATTGTCTGTCTAGAAGTGTCCACATGATGGCTGTCTTAACAACATAATTAAATATAACCACTACATTGTTTATCTCTATGGTATTAACCCTCTCCCGCACCGAAGCTGAAGACCTTGTCGATGGTGAGTAGAGGTTTAGGTGGGTCCAGGGTGGGTTCTCTATCTCCTAGCTTGACCAGGACACACCTGGCCTCCTCTCTGTGGGGGGTCTTCACTGTGGCAGCCAGGGCCTGCTCACTGGGGGAGAGACGCACCCTCTGGAGGCTCCAATCTCCCTTCCCCACAGAGTCCAGACACAACACCTCTTCTGGCTCTGGGTCACCTGCAGCCAGTCAAGTCACAAACACACACCTTACATTGTTTTATGTAATTTAGTTCTCTTCAGCTCTAGACGGTAGTAGAAAGTGGTGTGATTAGGGAAATGTCTGTCCAGAAAATGGTGCTTACCCTGCCTGGTATCCATTCTATAGATGCCATCCCCTTCCATGAAGTACACATGGTTACACCCCTGGATCTGGAGAGACAGCTGTTTGTCAGTATAATGACTACTTTATTAAACCAGTGTTAGTTGTTTAGATACCTTTACCAAAATATCAAGCCCAACTTTACCGTTGTATTGTCTGGGACTCCGGAGAACCTCTGGTGTATGGCCCTTAATCTTCTCTCGAAAGACCTCTCCAGGCTCCTGTACTTCTTATTTTGAGAGTTGAATTCCACAGTGGAGCTGGAAGGGTCCTGAAGGTCACAATAACATATTAGGTGAACTGTATGCACAAATTCTCACAGTGTGACTGTCATCTGAATATCTGTAGCTTTGTACATTTGGATTGACTGTTTGAGAGTCCATTTCCTACAACAAAACAAAACCCCACTGCCTATCAGATTCTAACAACAGGATCAGTTTCTCTACAATTTCCACTTCTTCATCTTTGGTTACTACAAGGCTAGCAGGTTTGTAAGCAACAGATCCCTAGAAACAGTCCTAAATATTAGATGAGGACAGTAATCAGAGGTAAAGGTCTGCTGTGTAACTAGCACCAATGGTTGCTTGAGAGCGAGTTACAGCACCTTTCCCACTGTGTAACGACGTGTAGCCGTTAGGTAGATCCATCCTCTAGGTTTGCAGGTGGAAAGGCTCCAGACTTGATTCAATTTACCTCCCCGAATCAGAGGACACAGCCACGAATGCAGACTGGTCATGGAACACATACTCGCTGCCACTGTAACTGACTGACCAAGCTGTCATTTCATGTCAATCATTGTTTTGAAAGTGATACCCCCAAGTTTGAACACATTTTTCTTTGAAAAGATACAGTATCAAGTATGTCCTCTTGTGTCGCTTTAATAGTCGATAGTTAGTTACTGTAATTAAATGTAGTTTGCTTGCCTTCGCATTTGGGCAACGTACAGGATGCTAGCAGAACATTTTCAAAACATTGATTTGAGCGCTGTTTGATGGCGTACAAGCTAGGCAAAACTAATCAATCCCAGACGGCATACAATTTGTAACTCAATATTGCGTTCGATGATGCTGGTAATACATTGCTATGGCTTGCTGTCATTAGTGTACGGAAATAGCATGCTTTCTCCAGCAACACCGGAGCAGTGAGCGTTTTACCGGTTGATGACCCGCTACCACTGTACTACTTGTCCTATTCTGTGAACAAACAGAGCCATACTCACTTTATTATACCGTGTGCTTCACACTGTGAAACATTGTAGATTTGTATTTATTTTTGCCCAAAACACTAAAGACAGGATGGACGGGAAGTTGACAGGTGAACCAGAAAAATGTAAACATCACGAATCAGCGTTGCCATCCTTGCCAGAAAATAAAGAAAAAAAGCTCATTACGAACCACCAATCCAATCGAGACCCTAACTGTGGAACCGACGTAGCTCGTGCAAGATGGACTCTCCTACGACAGGTAAAACAAGCGTCACATTTGCAATGGGTTTGTTATCAACTGACAGAATCAATGTTGCATTGCGCCTAACGTTAGCTAGCTAGCTAGCTAATATCATTGCACCATTCGCTAGCTAGATATACTGGCTTTAGCTAAGCTAAATGTATCATCGATTTACCATTCATAGACGTGTATCTGTTTTTACAGTAACATGTGTAACTGAGGTTATATACAGCTCTCCAGTCCTCTGTCCCAGTTGGGCTGTAACCTAACCATAACGGTGTGAGGGCATGACCTGAGAGGGAGGTTTTGTCCTTACATGGGCATTTCACTGATACACAAAATGCTTCCAGAAATATCCTCTTGCGTTTCAAATACTGTATAGTATTATAAAACCACACATTTCACCATTTGATCAAAGAAATGAACATCATTCATGCATATTGCACTGACAAGGGCTAAGTAATCAACTAAAGGTGTCCCGTGACAAGATAATGACTACACTACTACAGGAACTGTGGGGATCAGTTTCAAGGATAAACAATAGAGCCTGGAGCCATATCAGATCTTCATCACTAGGCTAGATAGAATGTTCTAATACCTCCATGTCACTCTAATTTGGTCAGTAATTGTGTTTTTAGGTGGTGTTTTTAAATCAGGTCAGGTTGTGTTGTTTGACAGGTACTACACCTCCATCTCCCTTTCAGGTGCTGAGGCAGAAACAGCTGGACAGTGCAGACTCAGAGGTCAAGCAGGTGTCTGTCCGGAGATTCTCCTCCTTCAACCTGTTCAACAAAACCAGTGTCACGCACCAAGAGACAGATGACCCCTCCGAAGGCCAGTGGGTGGAATACACAAGTGCTTCCTTCCCAGAGTTCAGTGCCTTTCTCAGGTGGGTTTGAGATGCTTGTTGTCCTCTGAGTAAGCCAAGCATCTTGCAGTTTACACACACACACACACACACTGTAATCATATTTCTCTCTCATTCTTTTCCAGGGATAACCTCGGGCCCATCAGAGTGAACGAGGTTCTCAACAGTTTTGACAATACAGGGAATGTCTGTGAGTACATCCTCCATATACATTTTTAAGAGTGTGCGTTATTTTAACCTCCCTATGATGATCTCCTGTTACACACTGTTTTCCCACTTACATTGATTGCACTTCTGGTAAGTCACTCAGCCTGTTGGAAAGAGAGAGTGAGAAAAGGCTATTTTTACCATCATCGCTGAGGGCAGATTGAGGATCACCTTTTGTAAGGATTTAACACAGTCTCATGCAATACAAATGATCTGATGTTAAGCTGTGGAAGCTAATCAAATCAGCATCCCAAGGAGATGATGATGATGATGATGATGATGAGGATAGGTGAGAAGGTCATGCAGCTGTTTTGCCATGGTAATGGAAACATTGTGTTCTGTTCTGTTGCCATGGTGACAGCCGTCCTGTATCGTCTTATATAAGGCTGAGTAACAGTTTGGTCAGTAAATCAGAGAGGTTGGTTGTAGAAGAGGGAACCCCCTCAGGGAAGGCTGCATCTCTCTGTACTCCCACTAGCAGGCAGCACTGATCAGCAGTATTCACACAGCAGAGCCAGAGAGAGCCTGGGAGCTGAGCTGCCTCTCACTTTCTATGCCTGCCTGACAGCCAGGTCATGTGATCATGTGATCCCCACCAGCCTGGCCTTTAGCAGGCCCACATACCTGCTACCCGGTGGAGTGAGCATTCCACAAATGTGATGATAGGAACAGATTGGCTAAAGACGTTATCTGTGTTCTAGCTCCCTCTCAAATGAGCCCAAACTCGGGTGTTGTGTTATTAGAGCTGTGGATTGTGGTGGAACAAGACTGGTGGTCTGTACTTTTCATTCTGTGTTCGTGTGTGTTAACTTTTCCTCTTGCAGAAAATGGGTTAACCAACAAAATCTGTCACCCAGGATATACACTGAGTATAAAAAACATTAGGTACACTTTCCTAATATTGAGTTGCACCCCCTTTTGCCCTCAGAACAGCCTCAATTCATTGGGGCATGGACTCTACTAGGTGTCGAAAGCGTTCCACAGGGATGCTGGCCCATGTTGACTCCAATGCTTCCCACAGTTGTGTCAAGTTGGCTGGATGTCCTTTGGGTGCTGGACCATTCTTGATACACACGGGAAACTGTTGAGCATGAAAACCCCAGCAGCGTTGCAGTTCTTGACACACTCAAACCGGTGCGCCTGGCACCTACTACCATACCCCGCTCAAAGGCACTTAAATCTTGTCTTGCCCATTTACCCTCTGAATGGCCACACACAATCCATGTCTCAATTGTCTCAAGGCTTTAAAATCCTTCTTTAACCTGTCTCCTCCCCTTCATCTGTACTGATTTGAAGTGGATTTAACAAGTGACATCAAAAAGGGATCATAACTTTCACCTGGATTCACCTGGTCAGTCTGTCATGGAAAGAGCAGGTGTTCCTAATGTGTGCTACACTCAGTGTATGTTGTGATGTAACAGTACACATGGGGGCCAGTATGAAAAAATGTATGCACTCACTAGCTGTAAGTCAATCTGGATAAGAGCGTCTGCTAAATGACTAAAATGTCAAATGTAATGGTAGTCATTGTAAGTAGCTATGTAGACCTATGCATAGATGGATCCTGATTGAATCCATGAGATTGTGTTTGATTGGATTTCTTAGCACCCCATAGTGTATGTCAAGCCTTCTTTACAGTCACCTGATTGGTTCTGGGTATTCCTGTGTCTTCATAGCTATGGGGGTCAGAGGGTCATCAGTGAGCCAGATGGCTACATAGGGGTCAAGGGTCTAGGGTCGTGGTAGAGGTCAAAACTGGGGCTCAGTCTTCCCACATTATCAGGTCACACAGCACAGCAGACACCATCATCTCAGCTAATCCTGATGGAGCTGAAAGCAGCCAGAAATCAGAAGAAGTGGGTCCCCTTGCTCTTATTAGGGTATCTGGGTTACATGTAGGCCTAGCTGGTGTAGACTAGGGGTCATAGGTAATACTACATTTTACATTTTAGTCATTTAGCAGACGCGCTTATCCAGAGCGACTTACAGTTAGTGAGTGCATACATGTTATTTTTTTCTCATACTGGCCGCCCGTGGGAAACAAATCCACAACCCTGGCGTTGCAAGCGCCATGCTCTACCAACTGAGCTACACGGGGCTTTGGTACTAAAATGCACCCTGACCCTTCAGTATAATAGTGTAATTATTAAGATGTATTGTGGCATTATACCAAGCAACTTCTGAAAGATCTTTACCTCTAAGTATTAGAGGTTCTACAGAATTCTGTCTGCATAGAGATTGATGTGCTATGAAATAGACAGCTGTAGGCTAGATGTTGTTGTTGTTGTTTGTCAGGAGAGCTGATGATCCTACCTGCTTAACCTTGTCTGACCTTCTTTGGTACCTGCAGCTAATCTGGTGCCCAGTTGGTTGACTGAGGGATGAGAGAGGTGACCCTATCACCAGGACCAGGGTCTCGGGTTAAGAGGGTACAAGAGAACCCCTCTGGTAGGAATGTGGAGCTTCCAGCTTTGTTCGTTCCCCTCAGTGACCACAGCAGGATGCTCATCTTCTCCACCTCCCTCGTACCATCCCAGCTGGAGGAGCTATTCACTGGCTCAGATAGATAGATATCTGGCTCCTTGACCCACGTCTGGTCTGGATTTTCGTGGGGAGGTGGGGGGAGAGGGAGGTGGAGGTAGAGATTCTAGAGGTAGGGGGCCCTGGGTCCTCACCGCCAGGCAGGGCCTTTCAAACCCTCCTCTCAACCACTCCTAATTGATCTCACGCATTGCTAGGCCCAAACATCTAACCCCAAAAACCCCTGTCAGAAAGGCTGGAGGGGGAGCTCAGGAGCTCATTGTCTGAAGAGGGGGTGCCCCTTGCTCCTGTGTTAGCTGCCCCCCGGCCCCCTCCACCCTCCCCTCGCACATCCCTAAATCCTCCCCTGAGGAGAGTACAAGCCACAATCCTTGGGCTCCTTCTCTTCCTGAATGGGAGTCCAAAACGCTGGGGGTGGATTAGTCCTGCAAATGTGTGCTTAGGTGCTCTATGCTGCATTGGCCATAGGAGTAGGGCTTGTAGGGGGGCTTGTTTTGGGGTTTAACTGGCCTTGTTTCCTGTGAGGACCAAGTTTTCCAGGCACAATGGCTCCTCTTTGGGGATAGGTGGGGCTGAAGAGGTTTTAGCTGTGGACATGAGAGCCTTGTTGACACAGGGTTTGGACTGGAGAGGAGCGGCTGGTTTGGGGGGGTGTATGCTAGGCTAGGTCACACGTTGGGTTCAGATAGTCATGTGTCTTAGAGAGCTCCTCCATTGTAGGTTTCACTCTGTGCTGTCATAAGGCTCTACAGGGAGGTGTTGTAAGGCATGTTGTGGGATGAGCTGGGTGAATCAGGGTTACAGGGGCCATCCATATGCTGTGTGATGAGCTGGGTGAATCAGGGTTACAGGGGCCATCCATTCAGACCTCTGTTCGGACACAGCAGGTCTCTGGAAATAGGCAGGCTTTACAATGTGGCTCCTTTATAAAACCACTCATTGTCACTTTGGTTACAACTCTTTTTAGTCTCCTAATCGTCCTCATTACCCAGTGACACGACCCCTCCTGCTGTCTCGTAGGCCGAGAGCTTACATACACCACTGTGTGTGTGTGTGTGTGTCTTTGTGTGTGTTCAGATACCATAGCTCTATAATGGATCATCCTGCCTTAATGCAGAAAGTGTACGAGCATGAATATGTACGCCTGTGTGAGTGTGTGTGTACAATTGTGTGAGTGTACTGTATACTGTGTGGGCTTTAAGAGGTTCCCCCTGTGGCCCTCCCTTGTGCCAACCCTTTAGCAGCCCCTGTTTGCATAATTATGCTAATTCACTCTGCCAGAATGCTATCTAATTATATCCCGTTAGACAATGGCGGAGGGCTGGGGCCCTGGGTACTACATGCAGGTCTGGGGGCTGGAACTCTGACACACTCTGACACTGCAACTCTTAACTCTTGTGTTGGTGACAGTTAATTAGTGCTCCCCTGTGTGTGTTTACAGGCCAGGCTCTGTGACGAGCCTATGTCCCCCTAACACTATACTGGTGGAGCTACCAGCGCTGCTACACACAACCACTGTTACAGTGGATTCATTAGCTTAGTTAGAGAGCATGGTGCTGCTAGCACCACTAGGGTTGTGGGTTAGATTCCTGCTTGGGCCACATTTATGCTACTGGGTACGTCACTATGAATCCTAAGTTGCTTTGGATAAAGGTGTCTGCTACTACCTGACAACTGCATTTATTTACCCAATTATATTATATTTACAGTCTCGAGTTAATCTAGTAAATTGTAGTAAAAGCAAAGTAAATGGTTTGTGAGTGTAGTGTGATGTGAGTGTACCCCTGGGCCTGTCTGTTTGCTAGGGGGAGGTGTTGGCTGTGATGATTAGCTTTTGGGCCCCGTGTGGCTCAGGGGATGAGAAGTGGGGAAGAGTTGCCAGTTGACTTAATTTAAGGTAATTGGTTTGGTCCCATATCTTGAGGAAATGGCTTTGCCTTCTACAAGGGTTAGGCTGTTAAGAGCTCAGGGGTTAGTGTCCAAGGCAGGCAACTGTCCTAGCCCTGTATAGAATAAAAAACATTCTCAGAGAAAAACACACACACACAAACAAACAATAGACGTACCCCTGTGGTAAATAGCCAATGAATACAATGGCTAGTGAAATAAAGCCCCTGGTGTAGTTTATGGTTGGTCGGGTATTGGTCAGTATAGGTGGAAGGAGATGGAGGTGGTGAAACCTGAGCGTTGCCAATGAGCAGGAGGATTAGAGAGGAAATGAAGGTGACCCAGTCAGAGCTGCCCAGCGCCCTGCATTGTTACACCAGTAATACTGTGGTAATTACAAAGACTACATACTTTAGCAGCCAGCTCTCTCTCTCCAGTCCTCTTTTCTTCTGTTGCAAAGGTATTAGAGGGAAAATGAAAGAGGTAGAATGAAAGAGTAATACCACCCCTCCTAAAAGCACACACCCCAGAATGGCACAATTATTGGATTTTTCACCACTTTAGTCACCCTCCCCAGAAGCCAA